GGCCGTGCCTGTGCGACAGGTGCTGCGCAGCCTGCAGGAAGCTCTGGTCGAGGAGGGCAGCCTGCGGGGAGTACTGCTGGGGCTGCGCGGCGGCGGCGGCGGCGGCGGCGGCGGTGGTCGTGGTGAGGAAGTGTGTGTTGTCGAAGTCCGCACTGGTGGCGGCGAAGGGGGTGGTGGTGGTGGTGCTGCTGCTGCTGATGCTGGTGGTGGTGGGGGGGTTTGTGCCGCTGGCAGTCAGCGGGGAGTCGAGGCCGAAGGGGTTGGGACTGCTGCTGTGCTGCTGAAACGGGGGATGGGGACTCGGGGACGGCGAAGACTTTATGCGCTGCCCCGCCGAGGGAGAGCGCCCGCGCTGTTGGATGTCCATGATGTACGCTGGGTGGTTGCGCGTGGTTCCTAAGTTTGGATTGCGGAGAGCAGCCCAAGCGCCAATGCTGGGACCGATCGCCTTGTCAAGGGCTGGGTTGCTGGCTGGCGGGCGGGCGGGGGCCGGCAACGTCAAGCACAGAGAGCTGCGCTTCCGCTGAGTGGTCGGCCGGCAAGAGTGACGCGGATGGCTCGTAAGAGTTTTGTCCCTTGTTGGCCTCGTTGCTGGGACGGCCTGAGGCTGGTGAGAGAAAAGGAGGCTGTGTTGGTCGTTGCTCGTCGTGCTTTCCCGTCGTGGGCGAGCGTGGGCTGTGCCAGGACTCTCCAGCTCTCTCCCTGCAAGCGGCTAGCACCTCACCCCAAAATAACTGCCCTGCGCGCTCTTGGGGCGCGATCGGCGACTGTGGATGAATGACTCTACCGTGTAGGTAGGAAGGTAAGTAGGTAAGTAGGTAGGTACACTGTATCGCGAGTGCGTGCGTGCCAGGCTTGCTCTGCGCTCTTGGTTCCAGATGCCCAGCGAGTACGGCTATGGTGGAACAGAACTCCTAATCCTAGGACCGGGACAAGGGACGGGCGATGGCTGCAGAATACAGCACCACACACAGTGCAGGATGCGTTGGCGTCGTACGTGTTGGGTAGAGGACGCGTGGAGGCCCTGATAGAAACAAAGAGAAGGAATGAAGGTAAGTGATTGAGCGATTGATTGAGTGAGTGAGTGGGTCAGTGAGAGCGTGAGTGAGAGCGAGAGAGCGAGAAGAACGTAAGAGGACTCCGAGGCCCAGTAGGTAAAGTAAGGAGGTAAGTAGGTGCCCAGTTGACGACGGACAGACGACGACAGTGTCAGTGTCAGTGTCAGTGTCAGTGTGGTAAGCGCGAGCACCAGTGCTCTACGACAGGATACGGTAATGTACAGTAGGTGTGTCTCTTTAGCTAGCCAACCTACTCACACGGTCGGCGATTTGCGAAAAAGACTTTTCTTGGTGACAATGGCGGTTCAGCCTGAGTAGCAAGTAATCTACGGTACTAGAGCCTTACTTGTAGGTACATACAGTACTCTGGGGAGAAGACTACTACTCTAGGCCACGGTACGAGTGTAGTGACCGCTCCGCTCTCTACCCTACCCCTCCTGTACTGTCCTCCTACACACGTCGCCATCAGCCAATTGCATACCTTATTCACATACTGTGTCAAACAACTCCATCGACCAGCTACTCTGGTAGACATGTGCTTGCGTGGGTCAGTGCCCACTTTGCAAGCCCACTAGGGCGGTGTGATAACAAATCCACCCCAGATAAGATCGCTTTGCACAGCCACCTTGCGTCTCAAGGCTTTCTCTGTGAGGCAGACTTTGCACCTCACACCATGCCCACCCCATCCTTATTCCCGCTTTCAGCTTGGCCAAACAGACCAGCAGTCAACAGCAACAGCCACACGACCATGATCCCTATTCGTACCATCTTCAATTATCGACTAGCTCGAGGCATATAGATAGATCCCGTATGTCTCTAGGGTACAAGGAACACTGCGCCGAATCCAAAGAACACTCGTTCCACACAACTCATCAACCAAACTTCAGGCCCTGGACAGGGTCCCACCGGCCGTCTTGTGGAGGACCATTTGATGGTCGAGAATTGCCAGACGTCGTAGGTACTCCTCCAAACCTGATGCCCACTTCAGGCGTCCACATACCCGCTTGTGGTGGAATGGAGGCTCGGGTAGGAGTCGGCGCTGTCAAGGGCTCCTCGGCATGCGCATTCGCACCATACTGTGGATCTTGTGCATCTGCCTGTTTTTGTTGTTGTAGCGATGTGGACGTCGCCTGTTGGAGACCAAGTGAATTCATTCGAGTGGCCAGGTCACTACAAGTAGGTAAGTACATCAGTACGGGCAGCACTAGGGACGCGGAGACGGGAGCCTACTTCTCAAGATGTGAGGCCTCTGACTTGCGTTGATACGCAAAACTTCGCGCATCGTCTCGGAATCGGTTTACAATCTTGGCCAGGTCATTGTAGAACTTTCGCCCAACGTCGAGATTCGAGATAATCTCCTTGTACTTGAAATAGGCATTCTCCAGATTCTGCAGTGCCTGTTCACGCTTCTTGGTGGATTGGTCCCCTCGACGGGCAATCAGGAACGCAGCATTGGCATCTTGTAATCGCTTAATGGCATCCGCTTGATCCTTCTCTTCTTCCTGTACCATGTCCTGATCGACATCGTACATCTGTAGTCGCCTATCAAACAAGCCTTCAAACTGCACAGCCTCAATCGACTGCATGGGATACTCCCGCTCCAAGCGAGCGGCTTCGCGTAATAATTCTGGGTCTGGCCGACGATGGTCAGTCATGGCTATTGTTAGCAACGCTGGACTTACTGATGTCATCTTGCTTTGCCTTTGTCCTCAGAGCCTCAATCCTCCGTCGTCTGCGACTCTCCAGTCGGCTCACCTCGTTGAAGGAGCCTCGCAACTTGCCAGCTTCTCGCTCGACATCTCCTGTGATGGCTGGTCTTCGACCACTTGGCACATAATTCTCAAGATCGTGATCTGGACCACTCAGCAGTTGAATGAAATACTCGTTTTCTTTCAGCTTCGTCTTTACAATGTTGTCACTATTGGTGGCTGCCTTGAAGTAGCCATCAATCTCATTGATCTGGGCAAACAGCTTGGGCGCAGCTTGTTCAGGTGATGGCCGGGTCCAGCGCTCAGTGCCATACCTCCGGCGCGCACCTTCGTCCTCGGCGACTTCTGACTTGAGAATATCGACACCTTCCTGATAGATGGCCTGATCAGTGTACATTAGTTTCTTGGTGTCTTCCATGGACCGCAAAAGCCGGTTGATACCGTCCTGCTGCCGGATCTCATCGGCGTGGCCGACCAAGCCTGGCGGCAAACCCAGAGGTTTCTCAAGCGCTTGGAGTGATCCGGGCAGGTTCAGACTACGAAGAGTTTCGTGTATCCTCGCTGTAAGGGTCTCGAGTTGTTCGATGATGGTATTGTTGACAAGCCTGTCACGGCGATCCACGTAGATACTGGCAGCCAAGTGAACAGAGTATGGTACCAGCTTGGAGAACAAGGCCGGGCCAAGTTCACCGTGGTCTCCAAGCATCGAGTTTGATTCGGCTATCTCCTTGGGCACCCTGGCCACCACCATGTTCGCCCGGTCTATTATCTTGAGCTCGGCTTTCGGGGTGACGGGCAGGAGATAGATCATGTCGTTGTCCTTTTCTGCACGCTTCAGGTCCTCTGTTATCCGGTTCTTCAGGCCGTTCAAGTCAGCGAGCACCACCTTATTGACGTATCGCTGCTCTTTGAGGGCTTCCTTGACGCACGTGAGACTGTCGCGCAGACGTGCCACCTCTTCTCCGTACTCGCGCTTTTCGAGGCAGTCGCAGGCGGCCCGGTACTGGGCGGCAGCAGCAAAGTGATGATGTTTTGCCGTCATGTGGTGTATCCACTCGCTGCTTATGGCGTCGGATGTGATTCCTGCTTCGCGCGCTTCGTTGTACAAGTCGGAAACGCGAGCAGCCAGTCTGGCGATGGTGGCATCCTTCAATCCGTCCTTGACAGCCTTTTGCCAGAAGCATTCCTGGCCTTGAGCGAGCATCAGCTTCTCCAAACATTCCAGCGTCATCATGTCCATGTCTTCTGGCGGCTCGGTTCGCAGGTCGGGGAGTATGCTGTTCCGCAGATGGGATAGGACGCCTGCAGCTAGGCAGAAGTTGTTCGCGGCCGCTTTCAGACCCTCTGGGGAGCTTCGGTTCGACGACATGGCGAGCTGCGAGTACATGGCGGCGAGGTTGGAGAGGATGTTGGCGAGCTCGTAGCGAAGGTTGTTGCGCGACGTCGGCCGGCCCGTGTTGTAGCCCAGGGCGGGATACCAGGGGAATTCTACGCCAATGTCGATGGGGAACTTGCCGCTCATCCAGATCAGCTGGGCTGCGTATTGCTGCAGCTTTGGGATATTATTCTGATGGGACTCTTGGGCGTGGACGGCGACGGAGCGCAGCGTTTCAATCGTCTCGAGGTCCTTGGAGAACATGTCTGGATGCTGGTCATATTTGGAAGAGATGTACTGCTTGATGGCTTGCGTGAGGTTCACAGAGTGCGACTTCCGGAAGGGAAGGAAGAGGATGTTGCTGCCCATGGTGAGCGGTGATGTCGTCTATGTTGTTGCATTGGGAGTGGGTGGTTGGGTGGGTGCATGTCAACTTACGAAGCCATATGTAGTCTAGGTACCGGTACCGGTGGGTGTTAGGGTGTGTGTGTGTGTGTGTGGGTGGGTGGGTGGACACAGTACCTATTGCCTATGGTTTATTCTAGCACATGTGTAGGTATGCACATTATGATATGCACATGCGCACCTGAATGCATACACGTACACGCAGACAAGACAGACACACACACAGCACAAACACAGTCTGGGCACAACCAAAAAGTGAAAAGACGTCAGCGGTAACTTTGCTGGGGGGCGGGCTGGGCCTGCGGGCTGCTGCTGCCCCGCACTTGCCACTTAGAAGCTGTCTGTACCTACTCTATGTACTTACCTACTATAGGGTACCGGTAGCGTAGAGTGGCCTGGCCTGTGGCGTTAGGCAGATCAAAAATGAATGCCAAAGGCTTTGAGAGCTACCTTAGGTACCTTGGGTACATGCTTTTTCTTCTGGACGTAGGCAGATACTTGCTCTTCTATAGAGAGTACGAGACCTTGTAACGAGACCTTACGGGCTGGAGGGGAGCGGAGGGCGCATGGGTCACGAGTCAGGGTCCCAGCCGCCGCACGCTTGCTGGGACGCAGGGCTGACAGAATGGCATGCATCAATGGTACAAAGTACAGGGTAACAGAGTAGCATAGAGTAGTAGGCATTCACATACTTGGCAGTAGACAGTAGACTGGATACCTAGTACACGCTTCATGTACAAGTGTAATGGTAGGTATGTAGTACATTGCTTGTGCTCTGGACTTACTTCCTACTAGCTCAAACACTACCGGTACCTACCTACCTACCTGCCCATCCCGAGGCCTCCGACTCATACAGCACACTCACTACAAACACAATGCCCTACTCTTCATCTCCGGCAATTCACAGCGCTTTGTCCCCATGAGCAAGTTTCATGCCTCCAAGGTTCGGGGACCAGAGAGCGGACAGTGCGGATGTGTGTGGTTGGTTCCCACAACCACAGCCGTTGTTCCAAAGCACCGATCTGTCAGCGGGGTTGTCGACAATTTATAACAATCTAGCCGCATGGCAACACCATCTTGTAACCGGTGCGACCCTCCTTTAACCCTCTTCACGCAAACTTCGGCGCAGCTTGCGGTCGGTTCGCTTGCCGTATATATATCCCCACACTTGCGCCTGCTTCACACCAGGAGTCATACCTACCTTCACCCCGCTGCACATGACAGTGGCATCATATATTTATCGCACGCAATCCTCCACACTTCCCTACACTCATCTACTTGCCCTCAGCCACCCCTCCACACCCCTCCACCCTGCTCTTCACACCGCTTTCTACCTTTCCACTGCACACTCGTCAATCCACCCGACACAATGACCCACACATACAAGTTCAACGTCACGATGACCTGCGGAGGTTGCTCTGGTGCCGTAGAGCGTGTGCTCAGGAAGCTCGAAGGTCAGTCCTCGCAGTCGGCCATCCAGCCCGCCCCACCACCACACCTACCCGCCATGACTAATACCCACCACAGGTGTCGAGTCCTTCAACGTCAATCTCGAGACGCAAACCGCCGAAGTCGTCGCTGCCGACTCGCTGCCATACGAGACAGTTCTGGAGAAGATCAAGAAGACCGGCAAGGCCGTCAAGTCTGGACAGGCCGACGGCGAGCCCAGGGATATATAAGGCGGTTGAAGATGGCGCCTGAAGCGACTACCTTTGTAGCAGTATCATATGAGGATGGAGAGTAATGGACACTACATGCGTATCTGAAGCTGGGCTGCGAGCACCTGCAATGGTAGAGAGTATCGACTACACGCTCGATAGGCTAGATAGCAATACTGCATCCCTGACGTATTGAGCATTTTTCCATCCACCCAGCAAAGTGAATGAAACTGTCATCACTCTCAGTAATGCTCAGTGGGGCACGATACCTACCTGGATCGCAAGGTTCTCTTTTCCAAACAGCACAAGGCATCGGCCACGAATTCAACTCGGAACGCAAGTCAGTCCTCCTTATAACCCCACTGAAGCCTCATGACACTGGTCTTACCTTGCTGCTGCTGCTGCTGCTGCTGCTATCTTCGTCACGATTTATGCACACTCTGATGTAATAACGATGGCAGATGGCCATGCAATCTGGGTGCCTGGAAATACGGGGCGCTCCTTCCCTTCCGAACCTCGAAGCTTCCCGATCTTCCTGATTCATCCACGTCTCCGACTTCTTCCTCATCCCCTCTGTTCCCAACCGCCAAAGAATCAAATTAGTCGCCCTAGTTTGCTTGCAAAGAGACACCTTTTCATCTTGGTATTCTACATCACCTGGCAGCCAACTCGGCACCAACGGACGGTGTAACCCTAGTGCAACCACATCCATCCGTGAGGGCGGGTCTAGTCGGAAGCTGACAAGTCCCGAAAGGCCCAAGGCAACAAACAGGCTGCTGACCCGCATCGACTCCATTGAGCGCAACTCGTATCCTGCCAATGCGGTTAGGCACAAGCTCGCGCCAACATGATTCCCTCCATGGCTGTGCTTTGATCAACCTCAATCAACCTCATATAAGACCGAACTTCTAGATTCCCTCAAAGACATGCAAGGTATACAAGACTGGTTCTTTGACCATACCTTACCTTCCACACCTCGTTTTATTTCTCGGCCTGCTTCATCATGCCTTCTCCTAGGAGCTGCACGCCATTGCCAAGCCAAGCAGACCTCTTCTACTATTGCACAACCTCTTCCACTTCTGATGACAATCTTCATGCTTGCTACGGTCCTCCTTCAAAATCATCGTTGCGAATTGGCATAATCGTACTTGGAAAAGAGCAGATACAGCTATTCGATCTCGCCATGGTTGATTTGTTTGCTTCGTTGGGAAGAAGTAGCATCAGCAAGACGGGTGGAACAGACGCTGCAGTTGCAGAGGCCGTAGACGAAATCGACATACGCTATGTCAATTTGACAGGAGAAGGAAGTTTTCCGGTCACTTCTGGCACACGTATGCCCGTGACGGTGAGCTGAGCTTCGAGTTGCTCTAGCGAACGCGACCCCTTTTACTTACGCGAATCGCCATCCCCAATCACTTGCCGACCACACTCCTTGGACCAGGAAGAGCTTCTTGTTGACTGCGCTGGATTCGCCCCATATTGACTACCCTGTGGGCTAGCCATCTGAAAGCCAGTCTGGCGGGGAGGTAAAGGTCAACACATGCCCAAGTTCCTGCCCTCGCCTGCCTCACTACAGTGTTACAGACCCTGAAACTGATAGCTTTTGATCAGAATTCTGTTGCAAACGCGCCTCAATTCGATGTTCTCATTGTCCCCGGATCGTTTTCCCTGAACGAAATATTGGCTTCCGCTGCAACATTCATCGCTGCGCAGGCATCCCATCCAGATCTCATCGCCATCATGAGTATCGCGTCCGGCGTTACTCATCTAGCACAAGCTGGCGTACTGCATAGAAAACGAGCCGCAGCACCAAAATGTCTCCTCGCAGTTTTGGAATCCAAATACCCGCAGACTTTCTGGCAGCGATCAGAATGGGCTCGACATGAGAAGATCTGGAGCAGTAAATCTGCCGCATCCGCAATTGATATGGTCGCGACCTGGATGCAAGAGTATTTTTGGGATCGCAGCAAGACTGTACACCATGCCCTGACGACTGCAGGTATTAGTCTGCATGACGACTACGCTCACTGTGACTATTGACCAGCTGTCAACCTTCTTTAAAGCCAAGACACAATCTCCCAACTCCTTGCGATTACCCACATCAAAGAATTGCGTGGAATGATAAGTTCCGCTGTACAAAACCCTGTATTTTTTGGTTATCACACCAATACCTGTATTATTACAAAGCATTGATATTATTGCAAAGCATTAATGTATGGCTATGTGGTCAGTTCGTTGGCTCGAGTGTAGAACCTTGCACCATGAGGGCCCATCGAACCTGGATTTACATATTTCCAATGAATCACATATCTAATACTATCCCACCAGAACTTAAGGCACCTGCTGTACAAGTCATCAAGAATATGATTTTTCACTTCATTCAAGCCTCCGACGAGCAATCACTTTGGGTGGCCAACCTAGCGCTCAAGCTCTGAGGAACTTTTAGAGGAATGACAGCTAAGATTAAGATTACATGCACCCGCCAAGGCTTGTTTCTTTGAACACTGCCTGGCGAAAAGTACGCTATTTTAAAGAATTTTTTAAGCCTTTCAAAGGGTGTTCCTCTAGCACAATATGTAATTGTCTAAGAGAAGAGATCAATCCCATACCAAGACTAGATTTAGAGGACAGTACAGTACGTAGTGGTTGTGTTCGTTTTACATCCAAAGTCTAGAGATTCTGGGTTGCTTCGGTGAGGGAATTACTTCGTCAAGTATTTTTTTAGCCTATCATGGTACTCGATTTAGTTCAATAATTAACCCCAGATCGCTGTTACATGCCGTGCTTGACTACAAACAATAGGAACCGACCAGGCTTCGTAGAATCGGCCGGTCCCGAGGCATGTTTGGCAAAGTCTGTGCTGCTGCAAAGGATGCTTAATGGTAGAGTGTAGCATCAAAAAGGGTTTCCTGTTCTCTTGATGTGGATGGATGGACATGTGTATGAAAGCAAGAATCGATCTGCGCATATATGTTATTGTACATGTGCACTTTGAGTTCCGATTGGAACTTGTAGGACGTGATTACTCCTAAACCCGTCGCTTTGGTCCCTCTCTGAGGAGTCAACACGCTCGTCAAATATGGTCATGACCTACAACTGGGTTAGTACATCCCCTGCACTCACTCAAACATGGAGAACCTACGACCAAGCATCTTGCCCTTCTTCCCCAATGCTTTCGCCTCTCCCTGCTTGATCTTCGCCAAACGCGCCTCTTCGGCAGCCTCCCTCTCCAACCGATGCACATGTTCCCTCGCCTCTTTCACCGCACTCTTCGCCCGTAGCAACGCATCGTCGGCCGCTCGCTCTGCGTTCTCGGCACTAATCAGGCTTTGCTTGGCAGCAGCAATACTGGGATCTCCCGAAGAGCGGGAAAACATCCCTGAAGCGCGCTTAGGGGAGGATGTGTGGGCAGTGTGTGTGTGGTGGGAGGTTGATGAGGTGGTGTGACGGGTGGAAGGGGATGGGGATCGCCTGCGAGAGAAGAGAGAAGGCTTTCTGGCCGGTGCAGTCTGTACTGGGGGCGGAGAGGGAGAATGGCGGGATCCGAAGATTGGCATTTTGGCAAAGGTTAGTTCAGAGGGGTTTTGGGTCCGTAGTGAGCGATGAGTAGTAAGCGGCACTGATATTTAATCTTGACGTGAAAATTAATGTTGACGGAATTAGGGACAATTAGAGCGAGTACATATGCTAATATATATGTGATGCTTATATCGATGACATCGTTGCGTTGTTGTGCTGTCTATCTGAATAAACTTGGGCCAAAATCAAGTATCGTGTCCGTGGCCAGGGGTTTCACATGACGTCAACGTGGTAGACGAAGCAGGATTAGCAGGTTGCAGTTCTGCGTTTCCAGCCGCGTCGTCATTGCTCATGTGTAACTATAGGATGGGGATAGACTGAATGTCTGTCTTTTTAACTTTGAAGTGTGAGAATGATGTTGGGGTGTTAGCGTATGTTTCGTTAGGCGGTGGGCATTGGTACCGGTACTGTACTGCGAGTTAGGTAGCGGGTACCGTAGCGTTGCGGGTACCCTTGGTGTATTGTACTCGCTATTTATGAGGCATAAGGAGTACGAAAGAAGTAAAGAGCTTATGCAGATTACACCACGGATGAATTTGTGTCAATCTAGCCGAGCATATTCGTGATGGTCGTGAGGCCAAGGGGGGTTGTCACGTGGGCGGAAGTCAGGAAAGTGGTATGTAGCATTCACTACGGTAAAAAATTGTTTACTGTAGAATGGTACGCTAGGGGTTTACTATATAGGTGTAAACTGACCTCGTGTATACCCGTAAATAGGTTTAAAGTAGTGGTTTACTTTTATTATAGGTGGTTTAAATTAAGTATAAAAAGTAGTTTTATATCTATTATTCGCTATAATACCTAACTAAGACTAAAAGGGGTAGAAAAGATTAGCTTCACGCCATACGCACATATGACATAATAATGAGTCATGATATTTTTACTAATAGGAGGTGGTGATAATAGAGGTGGTGATAGAGGTAGTGGTAGAGGTGGTGATAATAGAGGTGGTGGTAGAGGTAGTAGAGGTGGTGGATGTAGTGGAGGTAGTGGAGGTAGTGGTGGTAGAGGTGGTGGTAGAGGTGGTGATAGAGGTGGTAAAGAAGATTAAAGAAAGGAGGGGTAAAATACTTAAATAGTTAGTAGGAAACTAGTTATTACTAATACTAGTAGATTAATAGAAGTAGAAATAAAAGTAGTTTACTTTTGTGGAATACATAGTATAATAAACCCTATTTAGGTTTACTTCTTCTACCTAAACCACTTCTTGGTCTACTTTAGATAAATATGGCTACTGTAAACCGGTTTTGTACTGTAGATATTGACAGCCTCTCATCATGGCAGCGGACATGAATCTTCTTGTTGGTACTCGAATCACGTGTTGCAAAGATCGAATTCATAGTATGAATAGTATGCAAAATTATCTCTTTTGAAGGCTTGCGCCCCTGTTTAGTTTCCAGTGTACGAAATGCGCCTCCCAATGCATCGCTCTATGTGCACAATTTTTGAACAGATATTATCTACACTGCACTGGTTCGTCGGTACCCAAGGTCAGCTTCGAGGTTGTTTTAATAATGGAAATGAGCATAACGGTGCACCCGAATGCGACCACAGCTATAGCTGCGTATGTTTGCAAGCTCTTCTTCGCCAACTTGATATAACAAAGCGGCGGAAGGATGAAGGCTAGTGCGCAAGCCGAAGTTGCGCCAAATAATTCAAACACAATGCCCAGGTCACAGGTAAGAAGTGAGAGGGTAAGAGCTGAAATGACAAGTGCCGAGGTGAAGATGAGATGTCGGTTAGGATGAAAGGGCTCGTCGGGAAACCAGTAATTGTTCATAACCTCTCTGCAGACAAAGGCCTCAAGGGGTAGGGTTGTGAGCATGTTAAGGCCGAAAAAAAGACGAGCAATGTTGACCATGATGTTGTCATTGGGAAAGTTGCTTAGAACGTTGCCCATGGTCTTGTCACCGAACGTCAAGTATCCTGACAGTGCCATGACGAGACAAGCAACAAGAGAGATACTGGTGCTGTAATGTGTGACACGCGCAAAACGATCGATGGTCGGCTTGCGGAGAGATCCGTAAATGAGGAGACTGTTGTGGTGGCAGACGAATGCAAAGGCTATGACGCCTATGGCCTCGAAAATGCCTGAATGAATGACAAGGGAACCGCGTAATGGGCCTTTCAATTCAGGCGGTACGCGGAACGACTGTGTGACGACAGTCAGTATGATTATGATCATGCTAACAAGAGCTAGGGCACTGGCTTTGGCAAGCTGGTGTGGGTTAGCACTAAGATCTGCACTAGAGTAGGGGCGTATTTCCCTTGGAGATATCACGGTATAGTGATAGTGGAAATGAGATGCCCATAATCAGAAGGAGCATGACAGCACGTCGATTGGAGAGGAGCCACAGAAAAGGCATGTCGGTCAACGAGGGAAACAGATGATCCATGACTTTGGGTATAGTGTCGCCAACAATGACGCAGAAGGCCACCATGCCACCGAAGGCACTGCGCAGTGTTAGCTATTCCTTATCCAGGGCATGGATCGCGGACTCTGGACGTACAACAACCATTGTGCTAACGATATAGCGACCAGTCCCGACCTGCCAAAGCAGTGTTGGACTGTCGCCTGGAAGGAATCGGTGCCGCTAAGCTTAGAGTTGATGACGATGAGGCGGATAGTCCAGTCGACAATGACGGTCAGTACGATGAGGAGAAGAGTGCCTGCGACCAAGCCAGCGTTACGGAGGGCGTAGGGTTGGCCAATGATACCGGCGCCTCTGCTACAAGTTAGCCTTGGCCAGGCTGCGTCCAAACGCAGGTCTCTGCTCTCTCACATGATGCTGTTGGCCATGTTCATGAAGGCGCTGCGCATGCCACTTCGAGGGCGCGCGCTCTCTAAGTGGTCCTCGGGGTTGAAAGCCTGCTCTGCTACCGTGACTGTGGGCGCTTGGATGCCCGTAAGCAGAGGCAGTCGCTGAACCCTCTCCCGGCCATCGTATGCATGCATATAGTCGTCATCATCCTCGCCGTCCAGCTCTAGCCAGCCTTCTTCGCCGCGGTCTGTTCCGCCTGTTCCATTCATGGACCGCCTCGGCTCCTCGAAGCGCACTCGATTCGGCGTGCGTGGGGCGCCGTCAAGGCGAGGTTGTGCAAAGGAAGACTGGCGCTTGATTTGGGCCCCAGGCCGAGAGCCAGGCAGGGCGGGCGAGGCGGAAGCGGTGCGTGAGGAAGACGACGGTGATGGTGATGCAGGTGGGAATGCAGGTGGAAATGGAAACGGGGATGGAGATGGAGATGCGGAGGGAGATGGAGACGGAGACGGCCGTGGGCTCGCCTTGGGCTCGGAATCAGACGGCAGCTGGTGGAGGAGGTTTTGGTCTTCGCTCGACATGACATGGGCGGAGTGTGTCATGGCATTCTTTCGTGGTGTGTCGAGTAGGTCGAGTATGGAGGATGACGGTGGTAGAGAGAATAGTACCGGTATATCGAGTCTGGTGGGCCGAGTCTGGTGGGCCAATTATCGCGTGGGTCGAGTTATATGGGTGAAAGGGGGTTTATGGGTTTATGGAAAGTAGGCACATAGTATTGTGAGTACCATATGGAGAGTATGTCTGGTGTCGCCGTTGGTTCAGACTCCCCTGTTCGTCTTTGCTCTTCACCTGCTTGCGGTAAGGCGCAGGGACCACGTTTCCGGTACCGTGCCATGCATGTGTGTCTGTCTGTGAATCTCCGTCCCCATCTCATTGGATCTCGCAGGCGCCATCCCCGTCCAAATCTCCAACCTCCAACCTCCAACCTCCAACCTCCAGCCATCCATCGTCGTCGAGTCTGTTCTCTTTGCGAGCTGCATCTGGAACTACTGCGTGGTTTGCCCTCTCATCAAGCTTGCTACCATGTCAAGTCGTCAAAGAACATGCACTACTTGGGCAAATGCGGTCCGAGTCCAGGGACTTTCTTACGAATCTTCGAAACATGGGGCCCTTCTGATCAATGGACTTCTTGCCATTCACCATGCCAACCCAAATTCATCGAGGAAACATGGGGGGTTGAGATGCGGTCAACAGTCCTGTTCTCGTAGGCTCACAAGCGCATACTCGCATACATGACGCTGCCATTTGGTAGGGCCTCGCCCACCTGTCAGTCTTGGCCGGATGGTCTAACTTCACTGGCGGCCCATGCGGAAAGTCCATTGTTCCTGCTTCACCCAGTGAATGTTATGGTAAGCCTCGCATCCGTGCTCCGTTGTTGTTGGCGGGCCGGAACATGTATCGGCTCGCTACTTTCTTGCGTTCCCCACACATGGTCCACCTCGAGAGACCACAACCCGCACCACAACTACACTTCTTGCTCGCCTCAAATTCGATAGCAGTGCATCGACTTGCTTGGCAGGTATGTCAAAGCGACTTCAGATTGTTTCTAGAAGCTCATCACCACTCGCGGAGAGGTGCGTTTGAAGCGGTAACTACATAGCGCGTCGCAGCTCGTGCAGCAGACCTTGTCAACAACAGCCACAACAAGCTGTCGAAGAGTAAGTAGTAAGCCGAAACTCTGCCTTTCTCATCATCCCTACATGTACATGTGGGACTCGAGAACTCGTCACGAGTGCTCCATTTGTGGGCCTGGCGCCTGCGTGTTGGCGGTTCGGATGATCTTGTCGCCCATACAGCTACCACTATCAACAGTCACCCTATTCCAAACTCTTGTCCAAGCGCATAGTAACACTTCACCGGCATCACTCTCCTACTCCCGGAGGCCTCGACCATCATCGTACTAGAATTTTCGCCCTCCATCCTCTTGCAGGGCACTCAACTGTCGACCATTGCACTTCTCGGCCCCATCGGCGACCATCCAACAACAACAACCACATCTGCACTCATGTATTTGCTTCAACACAATCCGGCTGCTTTAAATGCATACTCATGCCTACCCTGGACTTGCGGGGCGGTCTACTCAGTGTTCTTCGTTAAGTAACAAGGGCCCTCGTCGAATAGTGAGGATAAAGACATTCTTGGTATAGAACACACTAATCCAGACAGGAGCTGGATCACAGTTGTCTCATGTCACAGATAGTTGGAGACTAGCCCTGAGCTGCGACTGCAGAATCTGATGGCAGCTCGAATAATGAGCCATTGTATGATGCCAAACATAACAATTTTAATCGAAGGAAAAGCGATGGTGCGAACATCGGGACATGGCAAGAGAAATAATCTCAGAGCAAGCTTAAGAGCCAGAGGGCTGAAGCAAGGTGAGATCGCCCTTTTTTCGAGATTTACGCGATTCGTAAATACCTTTTCCTATACTCAGCCTTGATCAACTGGAGCGCCTCCACATAGCGGCTTCTGTTCGATCATGTCCTGTCCAGGAGACAGCGCAGCCAGGCCAACATGAGTAATCATTCTCGCGGTGGCGAGCCTCTCGTAGATTTATTCTTTTCTCAACTCTCGACGGCGAGAATTAGAGGAGGCACCCCGCGATCGCCCGCAGTAACATACCAAAACCGGTTGTGGCCGCTCCACTCCATACCGATTTTTGGGTTCCGTGCTCGGACATTCAGATCTTCAGATTATGCTTTGACCTGAGCCCTGGTGCAAAGGATTAAAGGCGTTCCGTTTGAGCAGTGCTGACGCTTGATGTCAGAGTAAGCGCTCGGAAGACCTAGACGATACTGGTACAGACAGCACTAAAGGAGCTGAGATCGTAGAGCTGCGCCGGAAGTTGTACGAACAAGCCCGAACAGGATAAGAAGAAGCTGGCTGCTGACAGTGACAAGAAGAGGCTGAGGGAATCTGAAGGGTGTTTGGAAAACAACGACAGGTCCTCGTCTGTCGAAATTTGGGTATGAGTCATGTTGTGGGCACCCTTTGCGACGTGACACAGGCGATTGCGAGTTTTGACCCTGAACGTCAGTGCCTCGAATGCTTTCTCTTATTCAGCATCCAGACATCGACGAAGAGGTGCGATATCGAAGCATCTTGCAGCATCACCCGCGACAATCTGATCGTTCGAGCCGGCCCTATTTGACTAACCTTTCTTTCTAGCATACCTCGGAAGTCTTTCCAGGCTATTCCTTCGACTCTGAGCTCGTGGCGTCATTATCACCTTTATCATTATGATATTCGGATACGCCCATTAGGGACAAGTGTGATCATGCGATCGCACACCTCCCAATCGCGTGATGATGACCTTGGGTCTTACATGGCTATGCTTCTAGACGAAAGCATTTTTATGGGTGAGCAAAATTAAACCCAGCCATCTTTGCAGCGGGATGGGTAGCTGAAAAGCCCACGGCTGTGTTCAAAGCGGACATGAAGTCTGCTAACCCAGCCAGATGTTTCTTACCCCTGAACATCGTCGATTTACCATGTTTTCTTCTCGATCAGAGAATGCTTGCCCGTCTCATGAGGACAGCTTGAAGAAATGAAGCCTCATCAAAATTCAGCCCCTGGGCGTGGTATGTTAGCTATCTTTATTGCCACTTGCATTAATCCCCTCGGCTTTCGCAGTCATGGACAATGAAAACACTTTGCGACCGTGCTGTTATCAGCCCAAGCCGTGCGGACGTCCACTAGGAAGCGAGTCGAAGAAGCGAGAACCGCAGATGTAGGATGAAGCGCGAAAAGGGGGACATTTTTGACTAGGTCGAGAGGTGGGAAACTTCCGCATCGGCGCGATCCTTGCCGACTGCACATGACGCCACCCCGGTCTCCCCGATGCCTCTTTTCTTTTCTGTGTGCCCCATGTGCTCTCGAAGCAACGCATACCAGCCTTGTATATTGTGGTACGGTGGCTCACAGCTTGTGTGTATCTGGGAGTTCATGCTAGTTTATGGCACGACGTCCTGTAGAACAAGGCGAACAGCCGTGGAGTCGAGTGGACGGTTCGCAACCGAGGCAGCGTCATGGTCGACAAAAGCGGTACGACGAAAAATAATCACCCTACGGATTTCCATCAGCATCAAAAGAGACCGGGTTGGAAGGACTGAGCCGGTACGCGGAAGGCGATGCCATAGAGCCCGAGCTCCCTATTGCGCCGCCTATGTTCGGCTCACCTTTTAGACCAAAAGTATGGTATCACTGGACTTGATATACAGAAAGACCGTCCGAAAGATTTGGTTGGCATACATATCCAGTCTCTCCTCATTAAGATGCCATCGTCGGGGGTACGCAACAGCTGTGGCGACACCATCCTGTGCGCTGTGAAGCACCCGAAGATCGCTACTCCAGAGACGATTGGAAATAAGAAAGAATACTCGGCCACCTGGGAAAGTCAGCGAATGAGGCCTAAAGGCTGAACGGCAATTTTTTGGCCTCGCCTGAGCTCGCAAGCTGTTGCGCCGCCGCGCGAGGCACTACAGACTGAGGGGATGTTGCCCATCTCTATGCTTGCCTTGAAAAAAAAATCGCAATCATGGAAACCATCGTATGCTTTTTGGCGATTCTTTGGTTGGTGGTTGTGGCACGTTGTTGTGGTGTTGCGGTCCAAAGATCCCGCACTGAAAACTTTGTTTGATAAACAGCAGTAAGCCGGCTGCACAAAGCGCATGCGTGGTATAGCCTGGCACCGTCCAGCAACAACAGCAGCCTGCAATTGGGAAACGAAAACAAGTTCACAGCAAGTCGCAATTTCGTGGCCTCTGCATATGATTGTCGTTCCGTACGGCCAAAAGCATTGGATGGTCGAGTTGATGCAGCAGTTTCGAGGCTGCCGTTACTGACCTACTGGCATTAGGCTATGGCTTTGTCGTGTATGTGTCTGAAAAGCCGCAGAAGTGCTCAGGCACAACAACTTCCAGTCGATCTCAGCATGTTCTCCATTCATGAGGAGCGTTCTGTTTTGGAGTTTCTACAAGTACACGAAAAGGACGCTCTCTTCCGTCTCTACATAACTCTGTCACACATCGTCCATCCTGCAAATCTGCTTTATTTACGATGAATATGGGGCCAGATCCATCTCACGTATCTCTTTTTCCAATTCGGACTGATCTTCGTCCCCCCCCCCCAAGGCCATCTTGTCCTGCGCCATTGTACAACGAATCCCCTTCTGGCACAAGTGCAAGCGTTTGCGTCCGGCTTGTCCATATCCTCGTACCATATGTCAGCAAGTTCTGACTCACTGTTTCCTTGGTTTGTGTTTCATTACGATAAGAGCGCATTGGCGGGTCCTTCTTGAAGGTGACTCGGGCGTTGCGACCTTCATGCTGAGTCCATTGACGAGCATATGGAGTCAACCAGCTTATGGTTTGAGTAATTTTCCTGTGGGGGATGAGTGCGAATGGCGAGCCCAGTAGGGTTTGCAACAAGTCAAGGGCCACCAGGGCATCATGATAGCATGTATGCTGCTGTCGCTGGCATCCAGTATCGCCTTGGCAACGCCGTAACGGTGCGCAGGGGCCTCCCCAAAAAGCCTACTTAAACCAAGCAGGTCCAATTCCTGTCACAATCATTGGCGAAACCAGATATTTGACGAAGGTCACAACTGAGAAAGGACTTCCATCCACTCTCAACACCACTCTCAACACCACTCTCAACACCACTCTCAACACCACCATCACCGCTTAGGATGAGCACCGCGGATCCTGCGGGATCGACCCCTCCTCCCGGATTGGAGTGGCTCCGCGAATGGGCAGGCAAATACACGAGCTGCATGATAGTCGAGCACCTTCGTGGCCAGAGCGATGTCCCGTACGACCAGCTCGAATGGTTCATCCAGACGGGCCTCGGTTGGGACAAGCTCTCCGGATGGGAGAGATCGATCGGCCTGGTGGACACTTGGATGCAGATGGTGCGTGTCCTACATTACCAAATATAGTATTCAACTGCTGACTTGCCATCTACCAGACCGACGACGAGCAAACCCGCTTGGTGCATTTGGTCAAATTCGCGCGTGGCTATTAGGAGACAGCAGCATTATCTGCAAACACGATAGCTATGACAACGATGACGACGAAGATGACGAAGACAAATGACTCTTGGGTGGCGGACGGAGGTGGAAAAGGCGTCTGACCTTGGGAGGGTACCTGTGCGCTTCGGCACTTCACTCTGAATGAATTCTCTTCTCTCTTGCTCTTTCTTTATCTCCCCAACGGTTGTATGCAGAGTGATATATCCATACCCAACCGTCAAACTTAAGTATTTTGCATCACCCTAAATCCATCGGCCGCTCGGGAGAAGAAATTCGTAGCCTACCTGGTAGGTGATACAGCCTGCATTCGGGATCCATTTTCTTTTGGGCTATTTCTTGGATGACTATGAGAGCTGGTTCAGCTAGCTTTTTCTTGGGCCTGATTGCTACAGTAGTGAGAGATGATCAAGTGTGTTGATGCAGATGCTTGGTGTCACATGGGGCGCAATGGAGGTATCTGGCCGACTACTATAGGATGAGAGTATAGTAGTGCAAAAAATTAGCTGGTGTTGTAGCCCACCCGATAATTCGTATTTTTGTATGTGGCAGAATCCCACTAGATACCGGTAAGAGGTGAATGTTAAATACACAACAGCAATCTACACCTCGTCTCAATGAGCTATCTCAGATGGCCTTGGAGCTTGAGGACTTAGTTGAAATATGGTTGGAAGCTTTCAATACACTTTCATTCACGTTCATGGTGGATAAGTGGATCAGGGTGTAAATGGGCGAATCAGGAGGCGGGATTATGAGAGCCGGCGTCTGCCGTCTTGGCAGTCGTCAACCTCGTCAACCTCGCATCACCAAGCGTGAGGCACTCGCAAAGGCAAACCAGTGCGTAACTCGACCATCATAGCCCATTGGTCCATTTGAATTCTTCGTCGTGAAGCCTGCGACAACACGGCCAATATGGCTTCCAAGAAAGTCGCCACGACGTTCTCTGTACGCTACACACCTGATACAAAAGCTCGCGTGGTTATATCCAACATCTACATGCGCTGCACACCGCTACAACTTGGACAGGGAGCCTCAAGCTGACAGCGCGTATGCAGAAATACACCGTCCAGCCCACAGGAATCTTCGCAGTCATCAACAGGCTCTTGGCCATTGACCCAAAGCGCTCCACGGGTGTTCCTCTGAATCCACAATTCCGCAATCCTCCCCCAGGTGGCCAGGACCCCAACGCCTACGATGACCCCATCACTGTACCTGCGGGTGACATCGCCGAGAATCCATATTGGAAGCGCGATGTGCGACGGCGATACCCTAAGCTGTCGACCATTACCCAGGCCGATGCCGTAGCTCTCCTACAAGTAGGGAGCGCAGCGGCGCCAAAGCAAGAGTTGATTGGTGAGGCGGGATCAAAAGAGCTTGTTGCTGCTCAAGAGGAAGGATCCAAGGGACTGGCTGTTGCATTTGAGAAGAACATGGGCTTGGCCAAGGATGTATTAGGTCCTGGTGGTATGCCCCCCCTACCCAGCGGCATGCACACGAGCGGGCCAGCGGGAGCCAAAAGATATGAGCTGGAGAGCGATCAGTCCTATGGCACTGCGTAAGTTGGCCGACTGAATCCGTTTCTGACTATAATACTGATGTGCTTGCGACACAGCTACCCTTGCCGGACATTTGCATGATGCAACACGCGCAGCAAATCCGCGAATATACCATAGTGTACTGCACGTATGATAAGCCCTTTTTTCATAGGACTCGGCTTCCAACGGTCTTGTCATATTCAATGTGATTTTTTATCTATCTATTCGTATTATGTGACCTTGCTGTCTCTGGGTCCTTGCCTTCCCCTTCCCTTCGCCTTTCCTAGCCCGCTGTCAGCTCCATGTCTCCTGTCTGTCCTTAGGCGGCGGTGCTGCTTCCAACGTCTTCCTCTTCAAGTCTTTGATGGCAATCTTCATCTTGTTGGCTACCCTTTTCTCGGATGCAAAGCTCGATAATGTGTTAATTTTTTAGGAATACATAGCCCTAAACATTGAAGGTACCTATCTCACAAAGTAGGCAGTCGCGGGCCACATACCAAAAGCTTGGCGCACACTTCGCGACTTCCCTGGTCTTTATCTGGACCACATCGACCCCACAAACCCATGACCCCATATAGTGACGACTCCTTGCCTACCATTTTCTCTTTCAAGCGCTCGTCTCTCCGCTATGAGCGCTGAGTCGACCAAAGCGCTCGCCGAGCAAGGCGCCGCTCCCCTCAACTTCATCTATGCCTGTTCGCTATGTTGTGCCACCTTTGCTGATGTGTACGAAGGCTACAACGACTCAGTCCAAGGCCTTTCCGACGGAATCAACCCCAAGGAGCGGCTCGTAACGAAACTTTATCTTGCCACGTGCTGCCATGTGTTGTGCAGCAGCCATCTCGAAGGTGGGGGTGAGTGTGCCGACAGCCATAGCCACCGGCCAGGAACACTGACCTAGACCAACCGCAGGACCGCCGTTCCACCCTGCAGGCCAGCGACCCAGGGCGCCATGTCCAGTCTGCATCAAGGAAAAAGCCGACCGCGAAGTCCGCGAGCTCTACTCGGTCCGTGGCTTCAACAAGGATGAGTATGACCCCCAGATTCCACCGTCCTGGTTTACCGCGCCACCTTTCCGGTTGGACGGAAATGGGAAGGAAATGGAGGCCCTACGCGTATGTTTCAGTCAACAGAAGGCGACCGAATCCGTATTGACTTGCTATAGTTCCAGTACATCGCCCTGATACGGTACTGCCAGAATACACACGCAACTCGCAAAAGGATGCAGAATGCCCTCGTCGAGGCTGAGAACAATCTGATCCGTGTGCAGAATCTTGTATCGGAGGAATATGCAAAAGGGTTGAGCCTGCAACAAGAGAATCAGCAGCTACGTCGCAAACAGTCTGATCTTGAAGGATTGGAGAACCAGGTACAGCAGTCGCAGGTCGAAATCGAGCAATATCGTAGCTTGGATGTCAACCCCCGTGACTTAGAAACCTTCAGGGCCAATAAGACAGCGATTCGGCATTACTTGAAGCTAGTCCCAATGCTCCTGGAGTAGGTATTGCTCTGTCCATCTACCCACAATACTAATGCTGATTATCTGACTGTCTACAGACAAAACGAGAAGATGAAAAGGCGCCTAGCATCACTTGGTTTCGCAATGGCTCTGAAGCCTATCACAAATTTTCGAGAATTGGACCCAAATACGTTTGATAGCGACGAAACACTTCCGGCGAGCGATACTGCCGATGTCGGTGTGTTGGCGCGGAAGACTGCCTCTAGCCATACCGCTGGGAGGTCAGCTCATACTTCAGGACGAGCCGCAACGCTTTCATCAAGTCCTTCCAAACAACGACCCCGGAAGCGGCAGCGTCAAGAGTCACCCCATTCCGGCCAAATGGAAGGTGTACATCCAACGAGCAGAGATGCTATGCCGCCACCTCCTAAACCCACCTCGAGGATGCAATCTGTGCGCAAGCTAATTCCTATCATTCGGAGAAAGTACTCTTATCAAGGTTCTACGTCTCAAATCGAAGATGTCAACCAAAGCTCTGGTGACATATTTATGGTCGAGCACGAGCATGGGAATTTGCAGAATATTCCTTTCGGCTGTCGAGCACTAAGCAATGGTATTCGTGGTCAGACGCCATACATGTCTGGCGCGTTGCCCGTTGATGAGCACCTTGGAGCGGCGCGTCCCAAGGACTTTCAGCTATCCCCGCTTGTGGATATACAGCGAAACAGATCAGATCTCAAGTCCCGAGAAGCTTACCCAGTGAAGGCAATGGAGCGATTCAATGACCATGAAGTTGTACAATTACCCACTAAGCCATCTTATATCTATCTCATGAACGGCCTATCGCAGCACGATGAGGTCGAGCCGGAGTTGAAAGACCCAAGCCAGGAAGATATAAGGGACTATAGTGGCGCTCAAGCGAGAAGCCAACATTCAAACAATCGTTCCAAGTGGCAGTTACCTGGGATTCCAAAGAAAAAGAGATCCTGGAATATCGGGCAACCGTTTCTTCCACAGTCACCTCAAAAAGCTCCTACGAGGCCCCAAAGTCAGATGGACCCGATAGACCAATATCACGCTGGCTCGATGGATGCTTCGGGTCACGCAGAACATGATCAGGTACCAGATGATCCGACTCTACCAGGTCCCAGGCGATACCGGCAATCGCCTCTTCAAGCAGAGAGTGTAGTAAGTCCATTCTTCAAAGGGAGTCTTCACGAGGCGCGACTTCATACCATATCCGGACTCGCTGAACCTCAATGCAGTTCAAATCGTTCCGACGCCTTTCAGTCTCAAGGGCCCAGGATGACCGTGGGCCGTACAGATTGGCATGAGCCACACACCTTAAATGGACTTTCATTCTTTGATTCGCCTGTAAATACTAGAAACCAAGTCATTCAACAGCCGTATGCATATAACCCGACAGAATCCTACATGTCCTCACGGCACGGCGCGAGCCGCAGTGTGAACGACCAAGGTTTCATCACTAGGCCAGACAAAGCTCATTCGCTATTCCCGCGCAACCGTGTGTATGGAGCCTCCCACGATCGATTAGGTGATTCTCAGCATGCATCTACACTTACTCAGCCAGCAACAAAACAGCCATGTTACAAGATGACCTCTAGTTTCTGCACAACGCGACACTATCCTGAAAAGTTGCCGATGGCTTCAAGTCGCTCACCCGTCCGCGTGCGACCTCAGTGGGAATCATTACACTGCACTGGTGTCAGGAGCAGTCGACAGTCCTTTCACAATACTGTTGGCTACCCTGACACTGGTACCCCAAGGAATCTTGTCTCAGATTCTGGACGATGCAGTGTGAGACGGTGATTTTATTCCCAGCCTGAGGTATCAAAGACCTGGGAAATTCAGGATATCCGGCATGACTACCAAAGGACCTCTCTGTTCCCTGGATCGGCTACGGACTCTAGCTGTCGAAATTTGACTGCCAGGTATCGCGCAATCGCGCGGCAGGCGTGTATCTGTGGCACGTACTAATCAATACATGGAATTTTGTAAACTGCAGTTTCATGATTAGTGTCCAAGAAGAAAATATACCGCCTTTGTTTCGTAGGCTGATAAGGCTGGAGTCCCATTATGAGCGAGATGTAATATCAAGATATTGAACAATCATACTCACATGATGCTCATTCAATTCCAGTATGTTGTGGCAAATTTGCACTCAACTTTGAGACGCAACACCTGTGTTTCCGACCATGGCTAAAGCTTAGCAACCTGGTGTCTAGCCCGTTCAAATACGGAGCCGAAACGCTGGGCTGATCCTAGCATTCCCGGCTTGGATGTGATTGAAGCCATGCGGAGATTAAAGACTAGCACCCAACGAGTAAGCTTTAAGATAATTAATGATATGCGATATGTGCCGAATACGCATAGAAGCCGCATTCTACGCGTGCATTGTGCCGTAACATCCCTGTATTTCACTCGTTCAGACGATGACTTGGCCATGTCTCGTGGTCACCATGAGAAGCGCGATATCATTGTACACTTTTCCCACCGGCCGGACAGACAGACATGTTCCAAGCGAAGCGCATTTTGCCCCATGTTGTTTTCATACGACAGCCACAAATGAAGACCCCTTGACTTCCCCGCAAAAATCGAAACTTGAGACCCACCATCTAGATCTGCCAAACTTCCTTTAATATATCGAAGCAATCTACCTGTGTATCAGCTTTGAATATTTACAATTGCTCTGCCGTAAGGCAAGCCATTATGCCCCTTTAGGTGATTCCAGCAGTAAGACCACTCGTTGCCCATCTAGAAACGGAGACAAATCATCCGTTCAGTACTGGAGCGATGCCGACAGTGTGCAGCCATGAAATCTCTCCACAAGTACAAATATCACCCAAGGATATGGTGACCTAGGCGGTCTCGCATTGCTTTGACGAGCAGACTTTTAAGCTTCGACAAGCAACGCTCACTACGGTATGTTGTTCGGCAACCTTCTTGCGCTGGCGGCCTTGGCCAGCACTGCTTTTGCAGCAACGTCGGAGAGACGCGCGACCAAGTTGAAATGGTTCGGTATCAATGAATCTGGTGCCGAGTTTGGCGAGAAGAATTTTACTGGTGTTTATGGCAAGGAGTACATTTGGTATGACCTAAAAACCATTGATCGATTCATTGAGCAGGGGATGAACATGTTCCGCTTGAACTTTTGTAAGCGCCACTCTCCCTTGCTGTCTGGTATATTCTATATTCAAAGAAGATAGCAAATACCGAATATGGGCAAAAGCTAACCTCTTCTCCAGTGATGGAGCGTCTGACACCCAACTCCCTGACTGGTGCCTTCGACCCTCTCTACCTGGGGAACCTCACCCAACAAATCGACTACATCACCAGCAAGGGCAAGTACGCCATGGTCCAACCACACAACTACGGTCGATTCCTTGGTAATATCATTACCGACACCGCCGGCTTCAAGACATGGTGGCAAAATGTGGCAGCACAATACAAAGACAACGAGCTGGTAGTCTTCGACACGAACAACGAGTACCACGACATGGACCAAAAACTCGTCTTTGATCTCAACCAAGCCGCCATCGATGGTATTCGCGCCACGGGGTCAAAGAACTACATTACTCCCGAAGGGAATTCGTGGTCTGGTGCATGGACATGGGTATCCTCGGGCAACGGTGCATCCCTTGTCAATCTCAAAGACCCTGAGAACAAGCTCATATACCAAATGCACCAGTATCTCGATCAGGACGGCTCTGGTACATCTGCCAATTGCGTCAGTGCTACCATCTTTAGCGAACGTCTTCGCGATGCTACGCAGTGGCTGAAGAGCAACAAGAAGCAAGGTGTTATTGGCGAGTTTGCGGGCGGAAACAATCCTCAGTGCATTAATGCACTGAAAGATGGTCTCAACTATCTTCAGCAAAATAACGATGTGTGGTGGGGCGCTATTTGGTGGGCTGCTGGGCCGTGGTGGGGTGACTATATCTATAACATGGAGCCTACGACTGGTGTTGCATGGACCGGTATCCTGCCACAGATTAAGAGTTACTTCGTATAGAGAGAATATCTTTGGGCTGGCTCAGAGTGAATCAGCCCTGTGGGGTTAGATTACAAATCATGTACTCCCTCGATAACACTTTGACCAGCAGAAGATCCTGTACACGAGCGCCTGATTTCAGGCTCACGACTTACCCTCCCAAGCCTTTCTCAGATACTCCTCCGCATCCCAAAATCTATACTGGGGAAATCTTTGATTCCACTCCCCACTTACATTCCAGCTCCCGTTGGCGATTGCCTGAAGAAACCAGATAACAAAGTCTTTGGAAAACACGTCTCTGCTCTCCTGCGGAACAGTGGGATGACTGACTTCTGGCACCCAACTAGTCTTCAATTGCCCCTGTGCTATATCTTCGCTGCTCACATGCTCAATGCTCCATTTGCCGCCGCGAATCTCTCTGCCCAGCGCAATAAGTTTATTGATGGTGGTGCTGCAGCCGCGAATGCCACCCACTTCAGGCCATGGTCGCGAGTCCTCTAAAGCAAGGGCTAACATTTCCGAATCATCAGAAATAGCAGTCAGAACTAGAGGATGCTCGCCATCGTCCAACACTATAGCACGCCGCTGTTCAAAGTCGATGAAGAAAGGCCATGTGAAGAGCTCGGGGGACAGTGGATGAGGATGTGCGAAGTAATCCACGAAGATGCTTGGCTGGAAAAGACAATACTCCAGTCCATGCAACATGCCCGTGTCCTTCAACTCGGCGAGATAACGGGCGATTGTGTCTTTGTTCTCATACGGAGGCACACCGGAGTTGTTCTTGATACCCCATTCAGAAGGAGCAAAACGCCGTACTCCTGCCTCGATGCAAGCATGGATGAGGTTCTTCTGCACAATGCAATGGGGATCTAGATGAGCGACCAGGAATGAGAGACAGACATCAAAACCTTGAAGTGCGGACGTTAAGCTTGTCAGATCGTAATAATCGATTTGTTTGTATGCGATGCCTGGTGAGGTCGTCTTGGGAAGCGCTCGTGTGAGGATGGTGATGTCATGTTTCCCAGAGGTGATGGAGGCTTTAAGCACGTTGGTCGCAACATCTAAGATGATGATGCTATTAGCTCAGTTTGCGCGTCAGATTGTGGGCCGTAGTTGATGAAGGATATCACCGAATTGCCATCGTACGAAAACATACTTCCTGTGCCACCAGCAACTGCTACTTTGACCATTTTCCATGAGCCAACCCAAATCTGGTGTTGTATGAAGAATATGGAACCACCCCTTCAATTGATTGAAGTATACCTGAATGCAGTTCGTTTCGTGATGGTTGCTCCGGTTTTGCTGGCCTTCGGTCCCCGCACATTTTCAACCCAGTCGGACCGATGCCGGCTATCGCCGTATGCGGCGAGAGAGGCCTCTATTCATCATCTTCAAGTCCTTGTATGCCGCTCTGAAGCATTAGAGACACCTTTGAGAAGCCTTTAAAAGGTGGACTCTATGCAGCGTATTTTCAGCAGTGTCGCCAAATGCTATCTGATCCAGACCCAAACATAGGCTGACTGTAACATGACAACTAGTATATCTGAGCTGTAGCGATGGCAAACCAGATGCGTACCCAGCTCTGTTCATGTATCAATGAGGGGCACTGATGGAAGTGGCTTCTCTGGTAAGGGTTTACTCGGCAAAGGTTTCATAGAAAGGGGCTCATCCGTGTATCTGGACGGTGCTGAGCTGCTACTACTGCCCGGCTCGTCCTGATAAGCGCCTGGCAGTAGTGAAGCCCCTTCATCAGCTTGAGGCTCATGTCTGAGTCTGTCCCAGACGTTGTCCATGCCATCCCAGAACATGAGCTGTTTCTGCTGTTGAGCCCAGAAATACAGTCTGTAGCCACCGATGACGAGCACTAAGGCCGCAATACTGCTAAGAAAGATGTACCAGAATATAAACCACCCGTTCCAGTGTATGAATCTGCCGAACGAGTTTCGCAGAGTGCCCGTTTTGCCATAGTCACCCCAATCTTCATCGAGGTAAAGGAATCGTTTACCTTCCTCTTGCCAAACATCGGCACCCAAAAATCGGCCCATGGTTTGCCAGATAGTGAGAGGCTTCTCTGAGGGAAACTTGTACGTCCCTGGCCCCAGCCGAAGATTGACAATTCTGTATTCGTATACGCTGCTTTCTTTGCTGCCTGCGCCAAACAAATCGCTTGCGCCGCCACTGTCCTTGGGCCCACCAGCTTTGCCTCGTTGGACCGGTGTTCCTCGGACAAGAAACCAGAGCGACTGTTGCGCTGCCTTGTCGAACTTCCAATGCGGGAACCCCGTCCCAGCTTTTCCGCCAATTACTTCCATGGTGACCTCCCAGTATCGTGTTGGACTGTGGTCCGCGCCGCCATGTTGGCTCGGTTCGACGGTGTAGAGATAGTCGATTTGTAGAGAAGAGAGACGGAGGTCGGTACACCATGCCTTGCATACGGAGTGTGTGTCGTCACCCTTGCAGTACGGGTCCGGGCAGGCAAGGCCAGAAGTGAGGTTCGCATTGGAGAACGGGTGTGGACGTTGAGTAACCCAGAACTGTGGGGGCGTTGGGATCGTTGGAAGAGGATACACAGTTTCATCGTTGAGCAAGATTGTGCGGTTGTCGGCAGCAAGAGTAAGATTGAGCAACTGCATGCACATGGCAGCCTGCGGTCAGCCAGCCACTATGATGTTCTTGTGGTGCCCCTCCCGAGTATCTAGGCGGATACGGTAGCAAAAGGCATGGACTTACCAGTATCTGATCCGTCCTCAGGGGCTTATGGTCGGCAGTCCACGAGGATTTCACATAAGGACAGTCGTGGCATGCAATACTGACTAGATAGGATAGGCCGGGTGCTATTGCAACAATGCTGTCTGCGGGCTGGGCGCAAGCTGCTGCGTGCTCGCTGCGGCCCTGGCAATCAAGAGGCGTATGGATTTCTGCACAGTGTACTACTATGCACAAGAGCAAGGAGAGAAAGAATGCACCAGACAACGGGGTCATTGTGGGTTGTGTGGTGTGTGGTCGCGGTGATGGTGATGGTGTTGTATGTGCGGGCGGAGCAGCCGAGTGCGCGATCAGCACGGCTTCGTACCGGTACGTACCGGTAGGTAGAGTCGATACGGTACCGGTACGGTACGGATACAGTTCGGCGCGGCCAGCATATCTCCACCAGCGCAGTGTGGTGACAGACTAACAGTACAGTAAGGAACATGGCTCCAGATTACTTCCCAGTTCCGGTGGCTCAGGGACGTTCAACATCCGTGCCATTCCTAGCAAACCATCATCAGCTTGCGTGACGGTACTTGTGTAGCCGCACATAGGCTAACATGTGCCCGAGTACCCGCCAGACCATGTGAATGCAACGCCAATATCCGCGCATTACCGGTACCGTCACGCTCCGCTACGTATAGGTACCCAGCGCTCCCGCATCAGCAAAGCCTTTGGGTTGAGAGCACGGCGCGCGGTGTAGCGAGATTTGGGGACTTGGTGTCAGGTTTTTCATGGCAAACGTCAAGACGCAACTTGGGTATTGCGGGGGGGTGCGGATGAACCAGGAAGTTTGCCTTTGTATTTAGATTGGACTGTTCCAGTGCGCTGCTGCTCCAAGTCGAGGATGTTTTGGCTCGATTGCGCCGAACAACGTTCTTGTGTATCCATGACCTTGGCTGAATTATATTGCCTTCTTGCAGTCATTGCATAGTCTCCCGTCAACATGGTATCCCTTTTCAACACGGCGTGGTCGCTCATAACTTCACCGTTACTGCTATTGGCCTACTTGTTTGGCCTACTGCTCCTCTACGTCCGTTTCCCCCATCTTCCATGTACCAACCCAAAACTAAATCCGGGCAGGTCTCGGCCATCATAGTATACCGCCTCACCCTACATCCTCTCGCAAAGTACCCAGGTCCTTTTCTAGCCAAAATCACCGACATCTACCTGGCATGGTACGCCTACAAAGGTAGCCGACATCTCGCCTTCCACCAAGCGCACTTGCAATATGGACCCTACGTCCGTCTTGGACCCAATTTTCTGTCCGTCAACACGGCGACTGGACTGAAGACAATTTACGGTTTCCGCTCCAATGTGAAGAAGGCTAGCTTCTACAAGGCGTTTCCAAGCACGCCGAAGGCTGTGAGCGTGCATTCTTCCATCGACAAGATGCAGCATGCGAGAAAAAGGAGGGTGATGAGCCACGCTTTCAGTGACCAGGCGATCAAAAGTCTTGAAAAGTACATATTGGCAAATGTACGTGTAGGCTGTGAACTCCTTGGCCGAAAGACCAGTGAATGCAGTGAGCTTCAGGAGAAAGATCAAGGCTGGAACGCAGCATGGAACGCGGCACATTGGTGTGAGTGGCTGGTCTTTGATATCATGGGCGACTTGGTTTTTGGCAAGGCTTTTGGCATGCTTGAAAGCCCTGCCAATCGGTTTGCTACGGAATTGGTTGGCAATGCGGCCCATCGACACCTGATTGTAGGTTGATGGTCCATGACGAAAGTCGTGAATGGAGACGCTGACTTTTGTAGTGTGGCACTCACCTCACCATCCACAACTGGCACCTGGATAAGTTGTTCTTCCGTAAAATTGCGGGTCAGCGAGCACAGTACATGCAGTACAGCAAAAGACAAGCCATGGAGCGAACCAAGCTCGGACTCGAGGCAGATCGCAAGGACTTCTTCTACTACCTCTTGAATGCGAAAGACGCCGAAACTGGCAAAGGCTTCACCATGGACGAACTGTGGGGCGAGTCGAATCTGTTGATCATTGCTGGTTCCGACACTACATCCACTGCCATGTCTGGCGCATTCTTCTATCTGGCGAACAATGCTACCGCTTTGCAGAAGGTGATGCACGAGATTCGCGAGACCTTTACGGATGTCGAGGAGATTGTGACTGGACCCAAACTCAGTGGTTGCACATTCCTACGGGCTTGCATCGACGAGACGATGCGAATGACACCCCCAGTCGCAGGTGCGCTACCGAGAGAGGTTCTTCCCGGTGGACTGGACATCGACGGCCACCATGTTCCTGCTGGTGTGGATGTTGGGGTGCCCATCTACGCCATCCATCACAACCCTGATTACTTCTCTCAGCCATTCGACTATATTCCCGAACGTTGGCTGTCAGACCCATCTGTAAACCCTCGTTACGACAGACTTGCAGCCGCGCAATCGGCGTACAATCCGTTCAGCATTGGGCCCCGTGGGTGTATTGGGAAGGGATTAGCGTATGTTGAGTTGTCGGTGACGATCGCGCGAGTGCTCTATCTCTACGACCTGAGACTAGCACCAGGTACCAGCCTGGGCGCTGGAAATAAAGATCTTGGAGCTGGCAGGACGAGACCAACGGAGTACCAAATTCAAGATGTTTTTGCAAGTAAAAAGGATGGACCTGTGTTGCAGTTCCGTGCAAGGTCATGAGTATGTGGTTTGAAATGATATGCACGAATATGGTGTGTATGCACTAGGTACGCACGAGAGAGAATGATGGGAACATGCTACATGTAAACTATCAATTTAATGTTCTTATCAATGAGACGAGCATTATGCGTAGCAGGCTCGAAAGTTGCAAAGTCTTTTTTTTTCCCTTTAGGTGCCATACCGGTATCTCTGATCGAAGCTCCACCGTCTTTTGATCTCGTGACAAGACTATGATTTGATACTGGGACCTATGACTAAGAATATTCAGCGTTGCCTATGGTATTCTAATAGTACTCTACGGTAGCTTTTGAATTCTATGGATTTATCTGATCATCAGTTCCCAAGATTACCTAGGTTGTCGTCATTGCCAAGGGCTAGGATCAGGGAAAGGCCGCCACGGCCGCGACCAGAGAGATTACCACCAACTGTAACGATGTCGATCTTTCGCACGGGGGTCCGACACATGTCAGGCCCGACAAGTGCTTGCCATTGTGTAATTAGTTGTTGCTGTTGATGTTTTTGGAACTCGAGACTTTTCCATCCGTCACCTTCTGTACGTATTTGCCTTCTGTCTAACCAACTATTGCCTTTTGCCTATGTACCACGTGCACGCACACCTAGAATTACTTGCAATCTGCCCAGTTCCAGCACTGACGCCTGTGTCGGTCTAGTCGAGCAGCGGCTTCACCCGCGCTTTTCCCTCAGTATTCCCGCTCTCACGTCACTGCGACTCGCATTGCCTTGCTGCCCTGCCTACCAACTGGACCATCCCACACCACACCATCTATGATACCGGGCCCCCCTCAGTCCCTGCTGTAGACCGCTGCACCTGCGGATGCCACTGAAACGAAAGCGACCCACCACACTTGGCTCGGTCACGCAATTCACCATGGACGCCGTGCAACCCTCATCCCGCGACGCGTCCGACGAGGGCGCTGAAGACGCCGTTCTGCAGGCAGTCGCCTCTAAGAAGGAGCGCCAGGCGGATGTTAGTGGGGCCTCGAAGCGCGCACGCGTCGCGAAGACGGCAGCGGACGGCGCTGGTGACAACGGTGACGGCGACGATGACAGTGATGGCGAATCTGAAGGGCCCGTCAGCAAGAAGAGCCGGCGAACATCGTCCATTGCCGGCGAAGGCCATGGCGAGAATGGCGAGGCGGGCACGCTGCGCATGGAACCCCCACCCAAGGCTGGCCTGGTCGACCCAGTGGGCTACAAGACAAACCCTCCGCCCAAGGATCGCGCAGTGCGCATCTACGCCGACGGTGTCTTCGACTTGTTCCACATTGGTCACATGCGCGCCCTCCAGCAGGCCAAGATGGCCTTTGACAACGTCCACCTCATAGTCGGCGTCACGGGCAACAAGGAGACACACAAGAGGAAGGGCCTGACTGTCCTCTCCGCCACCGAGCGCGCCGAGAGCGTGCGGCATTGCAAGTGGGTCGACGAGGTCATCGAGGACTGCCCCTGGATCGTCACCACGGAGTTCCTTCTCAAACACAACATCGACTATGTCGCCCACGACGACCTTCCCTACGGCGCTGATGAGGGCGACGACATTTACGGCCCCATCAAAGAGAAGGGCATGTTCTTAGTCACGCAAAGAACCGAGGGGTTGAGTACGACAGGCATTATTACTAAGTAACCACCTCCCCCTCTCCTCTGTGGCCCCCTTTCTTTTTCTAACCACCTGCAGGATCGTCCGCGACTACGATCAGTACATTGACCGCCAACTCAAGCGTGGCACATCGCGCAAGGAGCTCAACGTATCGTGGTTGAAGAAGAATGAGCTGGATATCAAACGCAACATGGTCGAGCTCCGCGACAGCATCAAGGCCAATTGGGCCACTACTGGCCAGGAACTCAGCAAGGACTTCCGCCAATTCTGGCAATCCAGTCGTCCGGCCAGCCCAGCCAGAACACCTACCAGGGAGGCGTCAGATGCATTTGAGTCAACTTCGTCGACAACCGCTCGATCTCCATCAGCCCTCTCACGACTCAGCCACCTGGACATTCCACGTGCCAATGACAACACACGAGGCTCGTCTGAGTTTGCTGCTGGCTACAATCTTGGCTTGATCGGCGGAGTACGATCCTGGGTAAGCCAAAATCGAACATGAGTAGGAAACGAGTACACGCTAACGTGCAGTAGATGGCTCGCAGTCGACGCAACTTGAATGATAGCAGAGCACAAAGCCCTTCGGATGATTTGAGCTCCGATGAGCAGGAACCACGGAGTCCGCAGGAAGTGCCCCGCGGCCGTACTGGCAAACAAACGAGATCGGAGCCAATGGACACTGCAGCTTAATAGGCTTGTAATGCTTTCCACAAAAGTGTCTAGAATCCGGACGTGCGTCGCGCTCTTTGTATCATAGTGTGGACATGGTCTCTCCACCGGCTTATCGGAGGGTAGATTAGCTTGATTGTGCTCTGCTACGCTCTGCTGGACCTCTATTAATCAACAATCCTATATCTCTTTCCCGTTTGAAAAACTTCTGTCCAGCTGGAGACGAGGTTTCTCTGTTCCAGATCATCATATTGCTTATCTGACTGTTCGTCAACAAACGGGCGTGTTCGCTCTGCTGATGATTTGGCTACAGTTGCTTTGCCGAATGCTTCTCGCCTGGGGTGTCCCATGGCTAGATGCAAGAATCTCCCACAAGCCTGTCGTGTAGGGCAGAGAGGAAGTCAAACACAAAGGTATGCGGGTAAGTGCACATGGTACAAAGAGACGTCGAGATAGCGAATGGGAGAGGATAGAAAAGCATAGAGGAGAAGAGGCTTGATGAGGTAAGCAGTATCCGGTGAATGGGGAGATTGACGAAGTTGCATGGAGTACGCAGGACTTGGTGGTGGGAGTGCAGATTGGAGAGGTGCGATGGAAGTACTATACTATGCAGTCATGGGGAGAGAGTGTAGCCTAGTAGATTGGAGATGATGGTGGTTTTGGACTTCGAACTGTGACGGATGAAACATGGCAATGAGCAGTAGTACAGTAGTGGGCTACCCTGGTGTGGATATGGCCCTGGGGGCGTCGTGCGACGCCATCACTTGGACCGAGGAGAGCCGTGGTGGGTGTAGGCCAGGGCTTAATGTATAGTATGCGCATAGCATGTATCTACTTACATAGTAGGGACGTGTAGAGTGTAGAGTAGGCATGATAGATGGTACCCCAGGGGCAACGGGGTTCAGCCCTACAACAAGCAAGGGATGATGGTAGTAGGACCAGGCAGGCAAAAACTGGACCCTCTTTCCCCTCGCTCGTTTTCTTTTGCAACGGTTGCCGCAAAGCTCGGGTAGAACGTGATCTTTCTTGGTAGCGATCGAAGCCTGTCATGCTTTGGGCCTTTTGCGAAGTTGTGAGAGGCTGCTTCGCATTTCTGCCCTCCCCCACCCATACAGCATCGTCATCGACAGCTGATCTGGCATGTACATGCATACATGAATAGATACATACATGCCAGCTAGTACCATACCTAGGACATGGAACACACGCACTGTTACGATTTCCTCGGTTATTCGTCGGCCCAACGTGGCGTGCTGAGGTGAGGCGGCAGTGTTTTCAACCAGCTAAAGGCGTGACACACGCACATGCACTTTGTGCACAGCAAAGAAGAAGAAAAAAGAAGAAAGAAAAAGAAAAAGAGAAAAGAAAGTCAAGATTCGCCCCGAGTTGATGTGCCAACTGGAAAGTGTTGATATGGAATCTCACCTTACTGGCAACGGTTATACAGCATAGGATAGGGTGGTGTGCTTGAATATGTAGAATACAGTACCCATGTAAAGCATGTAATGTGTAGTTCGTACCCCTGCCACATGCACCAGCTTGGACGAACGCCTTGTTATCCTACCACTGTCATACATGGTGGTGGATCGCAACTCGAGGCCCCCCCGTTCTGTTCTTGCTGACAGTATATACATGGTCTACTATGTGTGTATATATATATATATATATATATATATATATGTATGTTTGTATAAGAGACGAGTACCTCGTCTACATTGTACAGTGTACAGTGTAGATAGCTAGGTGTCAGGGCCAGGTATAGTACTATGTAATATGTAGATGGGGTGAATGGGCGTGCACAACAAGGGGGCCCCCCCCCCCCCCCGGTTTTCCCCCCCCGGAAAAGGGGAAAAAGGGGGGGGGGGGGGGGGGGGGGTATTTTCCTTTGGGGTCAAGCCAATGGAACCAGGCCGCTGGGCCAAAAACAAGGGGCGCCGGCATGACGGCCTGCCCCGTCCGATGGAAGCCCCGATGCCAGGCCGCCCCAATCCATCAGAAATGGCCGCACGCAAGTTTGGACAGCTGGACGACCGTATTGTACTGTACGCAGTGTTCTAGGTTTGACTAGTCGACCAAGACCGCCCTCTCCATCTCACCCACCGCACCATTGCGCGTCCATGAGCGGTGAGTGACGGGGATGGCCTGCTCTCTCGCTTCACGCTTCACGCTTCACGCTTCACGCTTCACGCTGCTCACCAGCGGGGCCCCCGTCAAACAAGGGGGGTAAAGTGCAGGGCTTACCTACCGTACATACAGTACACGCTGCTCAGTGTTCTACCGGTCCTCTTCTACCTAGAGTCTACCCGTACTCTACTATCCTTTTTCCTCGAGTAACGCTGCTAATTGGAATGCCTCCCGGACCAGCACCAGCACCAAACCCCGGCACCAGCACCAGCACCAACACCAGCACCAACATCAGAACCAGTGGCCCGTCTCCTGGCGATCTCCTCCGCGTCATAAGCATTGGGCCTTGCCCACTTCACTCAAAAAAGCCCCACGGCTCGTGCCCCAACCGCAAAGGCAAGCTTGCAGCGCCGGTCTGTGCTCGTCTTTTAAACAAGAATGCAAGGGCTCCCGCTCTAACCTCAAACCTCCGGATTCGCACCACCACACTCTGCGTGCAAGAACAAGATCGAATCGCTGTTTGAATTCCACACACCTTGCAGCAATCTTGCGCCTTGCTGCAGCAACACTTCCACTACCCTCGGTAGTCTCTGTCCTATCTGTCTGTCTGTCTGTCTGCTCTGTCTGTCTGTCTGTCTATTTGTCTACTTGTCCATCTGTCATTCTGTCTGTCTCTGTCTCTGTCCGTCTGTTCGTCTGCTTTTGTCTCGTCGCGCCCAGTTACCACTTTGCTTTTCTGGCAAAGTGGCTCTTGTCTGAAGCCGTTCTCTCAAGCTTCCGCAACCGTCATTGTCGCCCGTTGCAGCCCATCTGATCCTTTGTCCTCCCTTACCATGTCCACGCAGCGCAAGCCTTGATACTTGTACACAAAAGATTCCTCCCATCTTTGCTGTCCGTGGACATTAGCAAGAAAGGTACTGCTCCTCTGTGCTCCTCCTATGCTTCATCTCTGCTGCTAGTCGGACTCGGCGCCTGTCTCGTTGGTTGACGCGGCAGCTTGCAGCTGTCGGTCAAACAGGCCGCGAACACGTTTCCAGCTTGTGTCTTGCAAACAGCGCTGTCTTGAATAGTTTGGTAAGCTAATGTGTCGCAGCTCACGCTTGTTACTTTATGCGCTTTTCTGGAGCGCTCGCTTCTACAGTCTACTTTGCCATCAACACTCCATTTTTCACGCTCCCAGCTCAACACCTTTCTGCCGATAACTCGACATGGGAGTGCACACGCCAGATGCTACCGGCAACAGCTCAACTTCCTTCAGACCCAATCATGGCTATCCCACTAGAACAACTGCCACGAACACCCAAGGCAGGGAAGGCGCATCCTCAACCTGCTACGGCTCTCACATCTGCTCAGAGGTATCTTCTGTTGAGCAAAGGCATCTCACAGAGCGAAACGTGAGGCCAGATCCCCCTACTTGCACTACGACTCTGGACCCATACCCTTTCCTATCAGCCTCACAATATCCCAACACCATACCTGATGAACTCGCGGAGCTTCTTAGGGCAATGATACCTGGTCCGAAAGGCGACGAGTTGGCAGAGGCCTTTCAAGAGGCATCCGAAACACCCCCCATTACGAAGCAGTCACTGAGTGAGCTCGACATACAGAGTGTCATCACCAATATCAAGTTACGGCATGACGTCAACTTCGACCGCGACCTCAGTTTTAGGCCAAATCTCGATGGAGCCAAGGGGCAAGAAAAGACGAGGGCCGCAAGCAACTACTGGACAGCGTTGGTTGCGGAGTTGATGCTGTATGAAAGACTCTACCGAGGGACTCGCCCAGTGCCGCTCGGCCAGATCTCCTGGGAAGCTATCACTCATCATGCAGAGCGACGCATACCGACCATGTTTCAAACGATTGCCAACGTACTCAAGAGTCTTGTACCCGATCGCGATCACTCGAGAGTGGACGAACATCTCGATGTCGCAGTGCTTATGCAAGAAATCGAAAAAGGCGTTTGTGATTTGGTCAGATTTGCGGAATGGATGGCACAGCTTTTGAAAGAGCATTGTGCACCCATGAGAGACGAATGGGTGGAAGACATGGTCAAACGTACTCAGGAGGGCGTGTTGCACAACGACCCGGCCATGATTGTACAGGGCTTACGGGAGCTTCTGGGCATATTGGAGGCTATGAAGCTCGTGAGTACTTTGACAATTCTTCTGCCATGCCAACTAATTTATTGCCAGGACATTGCCAATCACCAAATTAGGAATTTGAAGACTTTACTCATCGAAGACACGATCAATTTCGAAAATCACTATCATCTAGACAAATTGGTCAATGTCAATGGCCGGGCGAGGGTGAACATCAACACAGCCCAGAGCTGGTACGTTGACGCGATCGAAGAATTTGGCCATCAATGTACACCTCGGCAACACAACTCCTCGAATTTCCAACTTGAAGCTTTCGTACGCGTTGTCGTTGCCACTTTGTTGGATCGAAATGCGAGAAGAGATTTCCCTGAGACCTTCTACCTGGATCGGGACCGTCTAATGATGCTCAAAGCTGAACTCAACGATACATTGTGTCTTGATATTTGCATGGACACTTACATGCACATCGTCAAAGATCTTGGTTACGAAGGAAAGTCGGTTGAAGTGTGCAGTAAAGAATTGCGCAAATCTCTTTTGGCTATCATGAGCGAAGCCATTGGCCATGGTTCACAGCAGTGGAGTATGAATTCAGAAGCCATCTCATTAGAGATACTACGGCATGCATCACGTCTTGCTGGAAGCGCTGCAACTGCTCATTTCGACCAGTGGGCAGACATCAATCAACACCTTCGGAGTCTATTCATGGAGGGCTCCGTGTCACATTCCACACAGTTAGAAGCATCTCTTGTACCACTAATTCTCACCAGCGTCCGTCGATGTATCGCCTCATCACCGGTGGAGCTCTATAACAGTTTTGTGACCATCCCATCATCGATACCGCCTACCTCGGCCTACCCGTCGCCATGGTACCATACTGATCCGTTTTCGTTTACCGTCATTCGATCAGAAAATGACAAACTGGCAGAATTTGCCAGGCGCATCTCGCACATTATCACCTTGCATTGGCGCATATGGGGCTCGATCGCCTACGTTCAAGATGATGACAAAGGTCAACCCTCGGCAGATCCACAAGATGGCGAGATCTCATCATCGCTGCTTTCCTCACCACACAATCAATCATCACTGACTACGGATGGGGGCATCGCAGCCATGAAGATGCTAGAGTTGCGGGATTCGAGCCAGGAGACCCACATCGCGCATCACACCTCTTCACAATGACACGACAGTCAATTCCGCGCTTAGAAACTGCTTTTTGTGTGGCGTTGGGGAAGGGTTGCACATTATTCTCTGCATAGCCACATGGGGGTGGCGTCAATTGTGTTTCATGATACCTCTGAGCATGCGAATGCTCAAGCACATACTTTTCTGACAAACTGGCCAAAGTAATAGATGGCATTTGAGTATTGGCCGCCAATACGCGGACGCATCTATTGAGAATTACAGCCTATCTGAAGATTGTGTGAGAACTTGAATACTTCTCTCTTAATATATACTTCTTGCATGACGTCTATTATCCACCATCGTTCATTGCATGTCGGCCGCCAAGCTCACAATTTGTGCTGGCCAAACCACTCTAAAATTACTTTGGACGCATTCCATGTCGTGGGTCCCAGCCTCAACCGCTCGAAAACATCTGCCTGCTTAGCCACACCCGGCCACCCATGTCCAAATCCAGCAATGGCCCGGTGCACAATCACATTGGCCTTACCACTACAGCTCCAACTCGTCTCCTTGACCGTCCCACCCTCAAGAGACTTGACTACGGGAGACACACCTGAACACCTATTTTTCGTCACCCAACTTTGCACAAATTCCGCCACAGGAATAGACGCAGGACTATTGCCGTTGTTACCAGAATAAGCAATCACACTATCATTCAGGCCGTGAAACTCGAGTATCGGAACATGGCGATTAGCAGCAATGTTTGGTTGACAACCCTTACCAAACAGAGGCTCGGTCAGGGAGGAATCAGGATAGGTAGCAGCAGCCACGAGACCAAACGCTGCGATGCGCTTGTTGAAGACAGCATCGCATGCGAGGAGGGTGGTGAGACCGCCGCCGTTCGAGACGCCGGTGGCGTAGACGCGGGATTCGTCAATGCAGAAATGAGAGGTCAGGTGGTCTAGGATTTCTGTGGCGAAGATGCGGTCGTCGACGACCGAGGATGGAGGGGCAAGGGGGTCTGAAAGCCACTGGATCTATGGTTCAAACTCAGATCAGTAATAGGTTCTCTTTTTTTTTGGTCTGCCAAGTGGACAGGAATCGGAACGAAGTAAGCAAAAACAGAAAAGGGAAGCCTACACCAGGGCTTTGTACCGCTAGTCCTTGCGGGTAAACAACCACATAATCCTTGTTGAATGCTGGCTTTGACAACTCAGTCACGCTTTCCATGCTCCATGCTGGCTGCAATTGCCCATGAAAAGCTAGTATCACTGGTGCAGGCTGATCATTCATCGCCCCAAAGTTCGGAGGCAGATGTAAGAGAAATTGGCGTTGGGTTGTCTTGCCAATGACGGATTTAGAGATGACGGTGATGTTTTGGGACGGACCGCCGGGAGTGAGGCCGGAGGGTAGGGCAGCAGAACATCCTGCACTTGCTGCGAGAGCAGAGGCCAGGCTTGCAGCCACGACAAGGAGGGTGTTTGGGAGCATACTGGTCGCTTGAAGGGGAGTACGTGGTGGATGTTTCCGACTGCAGGGGACATAGCGTTTTTATGATTTATCTCGCAGGCCAGATCTCTGGCGGCCCGCATAATATTAGTGCTCTTGTAGGTAAATATAGCAAGTTCGCATCAGAAACGCCGAGTCGGAGATGAGTTAGCGGACCCTTAATCGGACCGTGGTGATCCAAAGTCATACAAGGAAGCACATAAGTGACTGTATACCGCAGTATGTCGCTTGGTCGTATTATGTTATGTGATACCAATCTGGCAGGTAAAGCCTGTGTGATGGTCTGAGTGTGGGAATCTCCTGGACAAATTTTGGCCTACCGTATCAAGCTCAATGTGTTTAGCATAGACCTCTCGCAGACTTCCAGGTGTGTGTGTGGAACTGATGGATGTCGTCTTAGACATCGTCGTTCCGATTTTGTAACAGAGTGACTTTGTACACGATCAACACGCGATGTCTGGAAAATTCAATCGAGAGAGATGAGAAATGTAGACCAGGGAGGCCGATCGGGTTTGCTTGACCCAAAGATCATATCGTTTGTAGATTTAGAGGGACATGGAATAGCAGCCCACCACGCACCTTCTACGAATGCTATGATTGCGGTGAGGCGAGCATGTCTAGAGTCCAGACCTGGACCTCGCCATCATCACCCGTACTCAGCACGACTTCTTCATTTTTCCACCTCTTATCCTTGTCCGCGCGTCGTGCCCAGGCAACGTGGTTGATTTCAAAGACATCATGCGCAGAAAACAGCTCGGCGACCACGACCCACTCTGTAGGATTTGCCAAAGAGCTGTCATGGCCCATAAGTGGGCTCTGGGTATCGCTTGATGTTTGCTGCCGTGCCCACCCCTCTTTGTATACGACGATTTTGCCATCGCTCCCTGCGCTGACAATCATGCCTGTGATGCGACTCCACGAGACTGAATAAACAGCACGCTCGTGTACCTGGGGGAGTATTGCTTCCTGATACCAATCCTCATCGATGGCCATTGATCGGATGATGCTCGGTACGCCGGTGTTGGCACTTGTGGTGTTATCGGTGTCCTTGGGCGTCCTGCGCCATATGCGTACTGTGCAGTCGTCGGAACATGTTGCTAGTCGCGGCCCTGAGCGCTCTAGTGCAACTATATGTTGATTCTGTGCCTCGGATAGCCCCTCTCGTTGGGCGCGATAATCCTTTCTGCTCATGGCACTGCCCTCGAACTCTGCCCACCAGACCGTCTTGTCATGGCCGTCGATCATGGCGACTTGGACCCAGTCGTCTGCATCTTCGCGATAGAGACGCACAGTGTCATCGTAACTGGCGCTGACCAACATATCCTCGTCAGGATGCCATGCCACACACTTGACGTCGCCGTCGTGCTCCTGAAGCACCGCCACTGTCTCAAAGTTGTCGTCTTCGAGCTCTTCCCATATCCACACGCTCTTGTCACGCGAGCACGTGGCGAGATACTGACCGGATGGACTCCAGCTCAGGCACTTGATCTCCGACTCGTGGCCGTCGAGGATACAGCTGAACTGGTAGTCATCCGCCTCGTCCCGCTCTCCTTCTTTTTCTTCCTCGTCGTCGTCACCGCCCTGTTCGCGCCGCCAGATGCCCGCGCTGGCGTCGAAGCTACCCGTGGCCAGGACGGTCTGGTCGTGAGTGCCTGGCTTCCAGCTTACACTGCGCACGCTGCGCTTATGGCCGCCGGTGATGGAATGGAGGAGGGTGAAGCATGTCAGGCTGTAGACGCGCACGCTGCGGTCCGAACACGCTGTGGCTACAATGGGCAGCGACGGGTGGGGGGCACTCTGCCATGTGCGCGAGCTTGACGTTGGAGTGAGGGTCGCGAGTGGTGCAAGGCGAGCAGGGCGAGCAGAAGGGCTATGGGCTCGACCACCCTTGGCGCCTTCTCGTTGTTGCTCCTCGGTGCCAGACATGTCTATCTTGGGAGTCTCAGAGAAAAAAAAAGTTTTGTTTTGCCAATGTCAATTCATGGCTCCCGTCTACTAAACTAGTAAGTAACAGTTGTTACCTCGCGCCGTGGTGGGGGCTCGCAACTTTGGCGATAGCGTCATTTGCCAAGCGAACCCCCCCGCACTTTTTCACACAGTCATGTACTACATCATCCTCGACCTCTCGGACAAGCCTCACCTTCAGCCTCGCAGTACTGCACAATAGCAGGAAGATGAGATTTTGATGTGTGTGAATAGGGCTACAAATGAACCGCTAAAGGGATGGATCGACAATCAATACCATTCTACCACCGGGCTGACACGCAATCACCCGGAATGATTTCTTACTCATTAGCCGCTGCGAAAAGATCGTCTTGGTTACCCTCATTCGTCGATGCCCGCTCATACGCATCTCCAGACCTGTATGGGCCCAATTCTTCTAGTACTGGCGCCAAATCAGCTGCTAGGAGTGAAGGTGTGTCAAGTAGCAGGATCTGGTCATCGGCCGAGTGATACTTTCTCCGTGTAGTTGACCAGATGCCCGGTAGTAGAGGTGTCACTGGCCTATTGCTCAATATCTTCAGCATATGGATCCATATCTGGCCCGAGAGAGCGGCAGAACATCCGTCGTCCCCTCTTTTCGGACCGATATTCATACGATCCTTTGCTCGAGAAGTCTCAGTCTGTATGTTTGCTGTAAGTAGGCCTAGCTTTGCTGAAAGGGATGACGAAGATGGTGTACTTCGCATGCATATCATTTCGATCATGGAACGGCTGATGATCCGAGACAAGTGTGACCTTTGCGAAAGTCCCTGAAATGCAATTAGTGAGCTCAGCCGTCTAAAAAGAATCTATCCCTACTTGTGCGAATCCCGGTTGCCATAGCAAGGGAGCTATTTCTGACAAGCTTTGATGTATTGTATTCGCCTTGACCTTTAAGCCGTTGGCCCATTTGCCCAGAGATCCACTGATTACAATGCGCATGGCACCTTGGATCAAATCTTCGATTAGTGCAGCGTTGCAACTGCCTTTCGTTTCCTGCAAGCCAGGCTCGTCTTTGGCACTATTGGCCAACGCTTCATTAATACCTTCTGGCAGAGTAATGTGATGATCTTGGGTCGCCGGATGCAGGTTGTAGCTTGTTGTCAGACGCCTTCGTTTCAGGTCCTCATTTCGAGTCATCAGCTTATCAACGTGCAATTTTGATCTTTTGCCCGTTGGACGAGTAGACTGGCGAGGTTCGAGCACACTCATAGATACGCAGATAGCCTCCAAAGTGACCGTGGCGACACCCTCTGGCGGCCTGACATGTGCCACTGGGAGTTGGTTGGGTGACTGTTGACGTTTCTGTCCGGCATTTGCTTCTTCATAGCTCATCTGACCCAAGCTTAGTCGAATGGTCCCAGGAGGGGCAACGGTGGAATGGGAAGGTTGAGGGTCCAGTAACAGTTGATCCCAGAGCTACATCGCTATTAGCCACGACCTGTGTAGAAAGTAGGTTGTGGAGTCCCCACTGGTGCCTGTAGAAGACACATGGTTAGGCGCTGGAGATGGTTGGCGGCCAAGGGCTCTTCGCCTAAAGTGGGTTCGAAGATGAGGTGCATGTCGTGGCCACGCGCAGCCCATACGTGTCCGGACGACAGCAGATGAAAAAGAGAAGCGGTGTCCATTTGCTGCAAGGTAGTGTTCGGCTGTGGTATTAGCAAGGTGATGGAGGTAGTAAGCCAAAGCTCGAGATGAGGTGCTGCCGACCCTAGCACAGCGCGACCCAGCTCCAGTGTTCGCAACATGCTCTCTCTGCATTAAACTGGGAAGTTAAGGAAGTCACTGAAGGGAATAACAAAAAATCGAGCTTGTTATTCTGGCCATCCGACGGGGAACGACGATGATGCATTGACGCAATACATGATTGTGATGATTTGTCGCAACCTTGGAATGTGTAGCGGGTACCTGCCAAGACAAACCGCAGTCCCGTCGGGGCCCTTATCTTGGCAAGATTGGGGACCGGGGGCGGGGACGTTTAGCGCAAAAAGTGACCACCTTTTAGCAGCACTGGAGTCGCCGCAATGGCAAGGGACTTGCTTACTATTACACCCAATTACTGTACTACATACCTACCCTACTCTACCTATCTGTACCATATACAAGTATGCATGTTATGACTACTACTACTGGTAGAACAAGGGTTCTGCTACTGCGAGGCTGGAGTTCGAGTGGCTGTGACGTAAATCGACTCCGACGACCGTCATTATCACCACCACCATTGCCATCACGGGCAACGCATGAACCTGGATCTGGACCTGGCTCGTTATGTTGCCGCTTCCATACCAGCCCATTGCACCGCACTGATGGCGTCTTCCGCGAACTGACGGCGATGCGTGTCCGCACGCCTTGGATAGAGGCGCTGCGACAACAACAGGCCGACCGTATCGAGGATGCCCAGGCTGCGGACATGCCTGTAGTGCCCAAAGACGGCCATTTGACCCCCAAACGCATGGATGATAGCTATCATGCTGTTGTGTTGCCGCTCGCTCAAGATGCGTGGCTGCTGGATACGTATCTCAACTCGTCTGGCCATATCCGTCTCGGTACCATCTTCATGGACCTTGATGCGCTGTCTGGCATCATTGCGTAAGGCTTGAATGCTGCGCCCAACGCCTTGCCCGTCATCTGAAATATGCTATAGATATAAGCACACGGGTGACCATGTCACGACCGTCACCGCCAGCTGCGACCGCATCACCATACACTCCCCGCTGGTGGAGATTTGTGACCTGGAGCTGTCTGGCCGCGTGACGTACGCCACCGGTCGGAGCAGTCTAGAGATTACCATGCAGGTTGCCAAGGCTCCTAAACCGGGAAATAGGGTCCGAGACGAAGATGTCCTGATTAACTGCACCTTTACCATGGTCTCGCTAGACCCAGCGACGAAAAGGTAGGTGACGACTGTGGACCGCAGTGGACAGTCCGGCTAACGAAAACACGCTAGGCCGGTCAATGTAAACCCATTAATTGTCGAGACTCCCGAGGAGAAACGTCTGTATGCGTTGGGGGAACGTAATTCCAAGATTCGGAAAGAGCGTCGAGATACATCGCTCCTCAAACACACGCCCAACGATCTCGAGAGCGACCTCATACATGCATTCTGGCAGAAGCAACTCCAATATCACGGTACGTGCTCTACAAACACTGCCCTCCCATGCAAACTCATAGTACTCTCTAGACCCGTACGACGAGCTCCGAAAGCCAGACAATGTTGTCCACATGGACGCTACCCGCCTCCAAACAGCCACCATCATGCAGCCGCAATACCGGAATCGCCACCACTTTATGATCTTCGGTGGTTTCCTCCTCAAGCAGACTTTCGAGCTGGCCTTCACAGCTGCCGCAGCCTGCGCACACGCCCGGCCGACGTTCGTCTCACTCGACCCTTCCACCTTCCAGAACCCCGTTCCGGTCGGCAGCATACTGTATTTGACAGCAACAGTAGTGTACACTGATCCACCTCTCATCGGTGCACCTGATGAAAATTTTGACCAGGGCGAGGAGTATACAAGAATTCAGGTACGGGTGGACTCGAAAGTACGAGACGTGGAGCATGGTCACTCTAAGCCCACCGGTCAGTTCAATTATACATTCACGGTGCCCAGGAACATACGAGTCATGCCACGGACGTACCAGGAGTTTATGATGTACATTGATGCACGGCGGCGAGCCCAACAAGTCAAACGTACACTCGAAGAAGGCTTTGGGCTCAGCCCTAAGACGGCAGAAGAGAGCTTGACCGAGTAACATCCATCTGCTGTGAGTATGTGCCATGATTGAGATGTAAGCCTTGTGAGCTGTCAAGCCGAACGCACGGAGTAGTCCTTGAACATACTTGTAACTGGTTGCAAGGTTCACCACAATGCAAACTACAAAGCAAAACATGGAATGAAAGTACTTGAGAACTTCTACCTAATCAGGTTTTTACGGCTGCTGTCGTAGATGCGCGCATGTGCTGACTACACAAGCATGCTGTATATGTATAGAGGTCGATCTGGCTCGTGGTCGAGTCACTACATAAGCACGAGGCGGTGAGCCATCCACCACTAAGCGATTGACCCGAAGCCAGATAGTCATACTGCAATGATCAATCACTTGCCTCTCACAACCACATTCGAACTATTCTGCAGCTCTGCAGCACCCAGTGGTATTTGTGTAGACTGCATGTACAAGCAAGCCCCTTCTGCAACCGCAACCGCATCTATACGCCAGTAATCAATCGCACCAGTCCAGAAAGTGAGGCGAACATGCACCGTGCCCGTTGTCGCTGTTGTCGCTCTCCTCTACAGTTCGTCCAATTGGTACTCCAAACAGACATCTTCGGAGCAGTCGGTGCAATAGTAATTTGAGAAGCCACCACAGGAGACGGTCATGTTTCTGCACATGTCGATACTCCAGGCGTCATACGAGTAGCCAGAAAGGAGACGCGAGGAACAGACTTCCATTGAGTTGGCCCTATCGCCTTGTTAATCTCACTTTTGGGCATCTTACGTGAAAGGGAGTTGAGGAAACGTGCAGTACCAGATATAATAGTCATGATTACAGTAATACCAAGAGTACGTATATGAGCACATTCTACGGAAGGTCGTGCTGTTGGGTAAGGTGCTCAGATTGTGTGCTGAAGGCTCGATATGGTTCCGATTATACTTTAATCTCAATAGCTTGACTATGGTGTCCTATATACTCCGTCAGTTGACCGCTCTTTCACCGGAGGACCGCACCCAGTCTACTGGCTCCAGGGAGCTGTGCTGCGGAATACTGCCTTGTTCTAGATCTGTCCTCGACAACGTACTGCGTCTTCTCCACCTGGGCCTGTATGTAACTACAGACGCATGATTCGAGGCTCTCGTAGTACTTACGGCAGAATTACGGTATTATGGTCCAGGAAACAGGAGCCTACGTCGCGTCTAGGGCGACTTTTACTTGCCTGCGCACAAACAGGGCAGCAATCGGAATGGAACAGAAGAGTATGGGCTCCAAATGATTGATCTAGTGGGACCTCGGCAATGCTTTATAAAAATGTCAGTCCCAGAACCCATATGGGTGATAAGCCGTGTTCTGACCTCGTTGTCTGTATGGTTTCGGTAGTCATAGCCCCCGGATCTGGACCTTGCAATGGTACCGAGATGTGTGGGGAAACTTCGTTTTAGGCTTGGCTGGGTGCTGGCAGCGTATTGCAGTAGTACCGATATCACCAATTGTTCGGAATCTGGCCAGGTTTACCATGCAATCTGGATGGACCCAGCACCTGTGTTGGCAGTTGCAAGTAACTTCAGAGTAAGAGTCATTATCAGAGCTCTATTTATGATCTTGTCGTATGGAATAAGTAATAGAAGGCAGGAATAGATTATTGCACTTCTTCGACCAGACATCTGATTCGGTCTTTACCGATCTCTACTCTACGGTGAGTGCATCGACAGGGATCTGATGCTCGCGATACTTTCGGTGGCACCAAATTCACGACTCTGCATATACCGCATAACAAAGCACGCACGTTTGCCTAGTGGACAATTGGCCGGAGCACATCCGAATCGGACCGGCGATACAAGGATATCTGGGATTGTAATGACTGGCGTTCGGAGGTTGGCAATGGCTTGCCCTGATAGTAAGCTCACAAACCCTCATGAAATGATTTGGATAGGTATAGGGTACACCCTATCCTATGCAAAGGCGAGGTCGGTCTTTCAATCCCGCATTGCCGAGGGATTCCAACGCGATACAAGCGAGTTGCCTATCTGGGCAATATCTGGTATCAGCCTGTCAAAAAAACTTTGGAAAGTGGTGACTGTGGGGCAATGTTGTAATTTCAGTCTGTCAAAGGAGCAGGCGAGGAAAACCGTTAGACAAATGCATGTCTAAAAAGAACTTGGTGGGACTTAGGATACAGTAGGTACCACAGTGTTACATGGTCGGCTGCACCAGTGGCTTGGTGGGCTTAGTTGCAGTATTTTGTACCGTACCTACGTACTCTCAACGGTGTACTGTACTGTACTTTAGCCATGACTTACTTGGTCTTTACTCAGCCTTGAACCAAGTCCAAAAAGATCAGCTATAACTATAAGCAAACGGCTCCGTAATCCCAGCAACCCTATTGGCGGCGGAACAGACTCGGAATTGAACCACAGTATACTAGCGCTGAGTAGGTAGTCGCACCACCATCACCATCACCATCACTGTTGCCACCACCATCCTTCAGTAGCCTTCTGCATAAATCTATAGAGGACAGCTGCAGCGCCGCTACACCACACCATGTCCTTCTCCTCACTCGTTTCGGACATCGCATATCGCAATGCCGACCGCCCCGAAAGACCAGACCTGCGCTCACAAATCTCCGAGGCCCGATCGACTCGCTCGTATGCTAGCACGGCAGCCACGAGCGTAAGCATTGCCGGCGATATCAAGAGCCAGCTGCATGGAGGATATAGCCATCCGCTTTCGCGCGCGTGGCAGGCAGAGCGCCAGCTAACCAAGGTACGCTGGCAAGAAAGATGCCCAGGCAGCGGGCAATTTGGTACCAGGCCTGACGAGCTGACCCCCCCAATCTACAGTCAATGCTCATCTACCCTCTCTTCATCTCAGACCAGCCGGACGAGGAGACTTTGATTCCTTCCCTCCCCAATATCCACCGCCGCGGCCTCAATAAGGTCGTTCCTTACCTCACTCCCCTCGTAGCCAAGGGCCTGCGCTCCGTCATCCTCTTCGGCGTACCTCTTGCTCCCGGTGCCAAAGACGCCCTGGGCACCAACGCCGATGACCCCAAAGGTCCCGTCATCAGAGCCATTCGTCTTCTTCGCCGCGCTTTTCCCGACCTCTTCATTGTCGTCGACGTCTGTCTTTGCGAATACACCTCCCACGGCCACTGTGGCATTCTCCGTGACGACGGTAGCCTAAACAATGCCCTGTCGGTCGAGCGCATCAGTGACGTGGCCATGTCCTATGCTGAGGCTGGTGCCCACTGCATCGCGCCCTCAGACATGAACGATGGTCGCATTCGTGCCATCAAGCTCAAGCTCATCGAGGCTGGCATTGTCCATCAGATCGTTCTCATGTCCTACGCTGCCAAGTTTTCAGGCTGCCTGTATGGTCCGTTTCGCGATGCTGCAGGCTCTGTACCGTCCTTTGGCGATCGCAGATGCTACCAGCTTCCTCCCGGAGGACGTGGACTCGCTCGAAGAGCCATTGTGCGCGATATTGGCGAGGGTGCAGACATCATTATGGTGAAGCCAGCCAGCCAATATCTCGATATCATTAGCGACGCCAAAGAAATTGGAAAGGATATGCCCATCGCCGCCTATCAGGTTTCAGGGGAGTATGCCATGATTCACGCGGCGGCAGCCGCAGGTGTCTTCGACCTAAGACAAATGGCCGAGGAGGCCACACAGGGCATCCTTCGCGCTGGCGCTTCCATCATCGTCAGCTACTTCACACCTGAGTTTCTGGACTGGCTAGGCCACTAAACTGCGTATCCTGGGTACCTTGATTCAACAATGTATCAAGGATTCGACTGCAAGGATGTAACAGGACGGGTTCCACATGCTCAACACAACAATTTAGAAGAGTTGAGATGACTTCGTTATGACCTTCTTATCTGAAGTGATGCACCTGGCATTAGGGTTAGACTCAACCATTCAGGATATCGTCGAGGCTTCAGGTACGCGCCGGCTGCACGTCAGATCTTTAAGAATGGAGTGGAAGACCGCCTACGCCAGCTGCCTGAGCTACACGGAAAGACCTCGTCACCAAATATAAAGGGAAAACTCAATGATCGACCGAGATACTCATCCTTGTATGCTAGCGTGTTGGTTCGGCGGTGGGGAACGGTAGCGCACTCTAACCTGACTCCAGAGTCTAGGGTGGGGCTTGATGACACTCGATGGAGGACAGCTAGGTCAATGCAGCGTAGATTGCATATAGCCGATATTTCTATGACTACATCGGCGGAAATATAAGCTTGCAACCTGAAAGTAAAATGCGACCAGCGATTTTGTCGGCGAGCGGTTGACATGAGCATGTTAGCGACACGACCGTGCTACGTAATTTCAAGAGGTGCTTTGTAGCTTACGTCTAAGGATAACACTAAAGAGGCCATTTGCCGCTGAGAGATATAAGAGACAGGCCCTGGAAGCTGTAGAACACGAGTCTACGTTAATTTTGCAGATATTTGGAGTTATGCGTGTTAGAAACCAAAGCACTAATCAATACGAATTATAATCTTCAGAAGGTATGTTTTGCCATTGCCAACATACATAAGAGCACTTGAATGTTAGAATAGTGGCAGAAGTGATGAGTCACCAAAGGATTGATTTGATCCTTGAAGACCTTCGTCGAACTCTTCCTGTCCCTGGCGTTTTATACCTTCTTCCTTTGAATCCATGAAGTAGAAAATAGTTGCGAACCTTTTGCCGTCGTAATAAATACAGTTCATCTATTAAACTACCTTTTGCATGGCTGTGATTAATCCAGTTCCCCACTTGACGAAGTTGACAAAAACGCCTACACTTTCTTTTCTGCAACCGATCTTGCCTCTTTCCCGAGTACTTCTATTTGCTTTCTATATTTTAGTCAAAATTCATAGCAGAACCTGCCATCGTTAGCGTGTCACCACAACATGTAGAACCGCATAGACATGTTGGCCATTTTACCCTCAAATTCACCCAATATTCTTCTGTAGTAACTTATTCCAGTGTCTTCTTGCGCTCGCATTGTGCATCTCGTTTGCTAGAGTAGCGAGCCAGGGTCAGCGACACTATCACGGACACAACAGTGGATGGCTAGCCCACTTTTTCCAACCACGTTAATGTTAGCCAAAACCTTTTCTTGTAAGTCAATAACAACACTGTAACCGCCGCTTACTCTAGATTGTACACTGATATCCTACCTACCAAATTAAATGTTAGAGATGATACAACAACATTTTCACAGGCTGTATCAAGACTGTATATCTATACTCAGCACACTCCCAACAAGACTAGGAAGATTAATTGTTTATCTAATACGATGCCGCGAAAGCCATAGTACCTATGCTCCCACTAACATTTCTCCCCCCTAGGGACCGATGTATTGGCTAGCTTATTAGCTCATACGTAGCTCAGGAAGTCTGCTCTACTGGCATAGCCCATAGTTGATCCACATGATGTCGAACCACTCTAAATATATACCAGATACCTAAACCGTAACTCTCAAGCACGCAAAAAACGGTATGTGTTCCTGTGTACAGATTCAGCTCCCGATATTCTGACAGACTCGGACATTCTATATGATCTGTAGTAATTGGCATGACCCTCTGAGTCATAACAGACTTGTGAGTTATTCTAAAACGTGATTATTGATGATGAAACAGTTGCAGTGCATAGTCTTAGTGGCACCTTAGAGACACTTGTTTTCATAGTCTAGGAGTTCTTCAAATAGTAGCTTGAGTCGCTGTTACGAGGGAGACTTGCCTTCACTACGGTACAAAACCGGTTTATAGTAGCCATATTTATCTAAAGTAGTCTAAGAAGTGGTTTAGGTAGAAGAAGTAAACCTAAATAGGGTTTATTATACTATATATTCTATAAAAGTAAACTACTTTTATTTCTACTTCTATTAATCTACTAGTACTACGTAGTATTAACTAGTTTCCTACTAACTATTTAAGTATTTTACCCCTCCTTTCTTTAATCTT